CCAACTTTTTTCATGAAGTAAAATACAAAATAAATTATAGCTTTAACATTTTACTTTTATATACTAAGTGCTAGCCATTTCTATCACAACACACTAATCAGCAAAACCCATAGTCAAAATTTCACTTTTTTTCTGCCTGAAGCAGAAAAAGCAGTTTCCAATAGAAAGACAACTAAATACATTCTTCTCTCTGAGTAAAACAGTAAATTTTGCCATCTCTGCTAGCTCCATCACTTTTTCCATCCAGTCTTCCATAGGGGTGATTAATGTATCTTTCCATTTTGCTCATAAAGAACTTTTGCTGCATGCAATTAAAAAAAATCTTTTTTTAAGCTCCTTATCTAGTAGTCCTAAAATCAAAGCTTTAGGTTTCAATTTTATATTCATTTTAAGAATCTTCTGGATTAAAACATGAATCTGGCCCCAATATTTCTTTGCTTTATCACAAGTCTACCGAAGATGATAAAAAGCTCCTTCTTTGCAATTACATTTCCAACATACAATTGAGACACCTTTATACATCTTTGATCATTTGTCAGGCATTTGGGACCAGTGATGCATCATTTTGTAAAAGTTTTCTTTCAGATTATAGTTCAGTGTAAATTTCAAACAATTTGTCCACATTGCTCAAGCATTATATCCAAAAAAAATTCTCATTGAATCATACAGTATTCACATATTCATTTTCAGTTCAGTTTCAAAAATATTTTGCAATTACATGCTCATCATTAGCACACAACACAATTTTAAATTCATTTTTTACAGATTCAAACCCATAACATTTCTTGTCTAAATTAAATCTTTATTTCAGTTGTACGTATGTGAGCCAATGACAGATACGCTCTTCTGATTTCAATTCTGCTTTTGATTTGAGGTTATGTTCACTTTGATTAAAAGATATTATTTCACCATAAGTCCACCAGTTTGGTCTCGTCACCTTTTCTTTTCTTAAAAAAAAAGCTCCCTGTTGTCTTCATAATTTAATTACATTTTATAAAGTGAAGACATAAAAAAGCAACATAAACTAACAATCAAGAGAAAACATAAAGAGTGAAAAGAAAATAGGGATAGAAGTGCAAAGCGGTATTAAAAAAGAAAGAAAAAAATATATATACAAAGAATGACCTTGGACTAAGTTTTTCAAGGATATAAAGTACACTTACATTCAACTCTTAGTTTAAGACTATAATATAATGTCCATTCTCCCCACCCGAAAGAAAGGGAAAAGAGTTTTTTTCTTCTTTTTTCTTCTTAATTTTTAACAATCATCAAATCAACATGTCAAAATTTGACTTTTTTCCATGTTTTGCAAAATGTCCACAAATTACTTCCAATTATAGATGAATTTCTTTGGTGATTTCTTTTAAAAGAGCTGTTACCTGACCTTTATTACATAACTTGAAAATTCTGCATTGATTTCTATGAAATTTGACATGTTTTATTTCTTCATAATAGATTATGTTTTCTATGTTTCATACAGTTCTGGGGAAAAGCATACAGTAATAACCCAGATTATAAAGGTGTAAAATTCCAAATTCTATGAAATTTGGATTTTTATTTTCTCCTAATGATCTAAGTTTATTTATTTATTATTTATTTATGAGACTTATATACCGCTTTAAGTGCAAGCACTCTCTAAGCGGTGTACACCAGTAAGCAATGTATATATATATATATTTACATTGCCCCCAACAATCTGGGTCCTCATTTTACCTATCTCGGAAGGATGGAAGGCTGAGTCAACCTTGAGCCGGTGAGATTTGAACCGCTGACCTGCTGAACACAGTCAGCTAAAGTGGCCTGCAGTATTGCACTCTAACTGCTGCGCCACCTCGGCTCTTTGTTGCCAGTAAAGGTTGTCCCACTCTGAAGGGAAGAAGAGCTAGTCACTCTGTTAATTTATTTATTATTAGAATGCACTTTTATATCTTGTAAGTAGATTTTTGTGGCAATTGAATATGTTAAAATTGTTCCTCTATTTTTGCCTCAAAGTATACATATGGTTAAAAATAATTTGGGTTTATTAGGAATTTAGAATTGTTATTAATTGCAATACTTTTGCAAAGAAAAACCCACTTGTATTACACTTTTATTTGTTTAACATGTAGTTATTTGAATCTGAATCTGTCGGAATCAACATAACCTACTAGTTTCAATTCAGGATCTGACTATTTTTCAAGTTGTTGGGGAAAAAAATGGTGAAATGCTTTTTAAAGCCTTTACAACATATTAAACACAAAACTTTTTTTTAGTACAGGTAGTCCTCACTGAACAAAAATGTGTTATAAGTTCCAGTAGCACTGAATGAATGATAGTTACAGCTGGCCATCCTTTATTGCAGCACCCCACGGTCACATGATCCAAATCTGGTTGCTTGGCAGCCCATCTTCATTTATAATCATAGCATGTGCTTCATCTTACCCCAATGCCTATCTCCCCCATCTCTCCCTTGTAGCCATTCAGATGACAAAATTGATTCCTGTAACAGCCCATCTTTGTTTTGAGAGGAAATACTAAAAATATTTGAAAAGGGAATGTTAGGAACTTTGGTTTGCTGAAATTGGCTCATATGTTCTGTGCTAACACAGCACCTTGCTGGGAAAAAGTGCAGCTTTTCACTAGCCTGGAATATTTTCTCTGCAAATCTTTAGAACAGGAAATAAAAAACAGCTAAGGTTTCATGGGGCATGTGGCATTAGTTTAGGAAAAGCTGAACCTTTATCCTTCTGTCTGCCTCCTTTTTCCCATGCTGTTTTGTCTATGCCTGCTTTCGAATATGTCAACAAATTTTCTTTATGCTCCGAAGTAGAGAATGCAATAGGTCTGAGGAGAATAGTGGCCCTTTCCATTTAAAAAGAAAATGTAGAACAGATGTGAATTCAAGAAGATACAAGTTGAACTTGTTAAAATATTTGTAAAGAAAAATAGCTTCAGGATCTTCCAAAGTAAATCTCTTGAGCTCTAGAGATAGAAGAAAGGGGAATGTGTTTTGTTATTCTGATAGCATTCTTTCCGTACAAGAACTGATGATGAATCAAGATATGCTTCGATCTAGGAATCTAAATTGATGAATTATAACTAAAAACAGAAAGCAGTTATGACTTGAGGCTGGATTACTGTTTTTTAGTAATTCTTAAGCAGAATGATAGTTTCATGGTCATCCTTATTTACCGAATACTGTTACAGCAACACAGCTAGTTCAAATAAAATTCTATATATACCTAGGATTACAACTGTGTATCTAGGGCTAAGCTGTGAAAAATGAGACAGTTTGGAGTTGTCCAGATGTTTGCAACTCGTGATTGCTTAAAAAATCCTGACTTTATTATAAAATCATATGTGACATGCATGAATGATATTTCCCCCCTCCAAAATAAACACTGACAAATCTTAGCATTTATTTAAATAGGTTGTTGCATGTTTGTTAGCCATATTTTAAGATTTATTAAGGAGATTTTTGTTAAACTGTTACTTTTTAAAAGAACAATACAGATAGTCCTCAACTTACAATCATTTATTCATCAACTGTTCAAATTACGATGGCCCTGAACAAATGGTGGTTACAACTTGTCCTCAGAGCTCCAGCTGTCCCACTGACATGCACTTATGACTGGTTGCAATACTCTGTGATCATGTGATTGCTGTTTGTAAACCTCTCTGCTGGCTCCCCCAGAAAGTTATTGGAGATGCTGGTAGAGAAGGTCAAAAATAATTCTCCCTTACCTGCATACTCATTCCCAGTCCCTCTGCACTTCATCCACGCTGGTCACTTGTGCATCCTCCCCATCTTTTGCCATGTCTCTTGCACTTTCCCTCACCCTTCCTAAGCCTTGCTTGCACGCTTACACACTCTTCCTGATCTTTGCTGTTCTTCCTTGTGTACCCTCACAGACGCTTTCAAGCCTCACCATGCTTCTCCTGCATTCTTGTGACACCCTTGTGCTCTCCTCATGTATCAGTAGCCACTAACCTACCTGATAGCCTGCTTAGGACTATTCTGGTCCTAATTTCCATCGTAAGTCGAGGACCACCTGTACTTTATTGAGGAAGGCAGCATGACTTGAATCAAAGGATTACTGTAAGATGGAGTTTTATCATAATTGATAAAAAGTATAGTTGCACTTTTTAAAAAATGTTTTTATCCCATCTTTATTATTTTTATCTATAACTCAAGGCAGCCAACATATCTATTACTCCTCCTTCCTTCTATTTTCCCACAACAATAAGCCTGTGAGATGATTTGGGCTGAGAGAGAGCGACTGGCCCAAAGTCACCCAGCTGATTTTTCATGCCTAAGGTGGTACTAAAACTCACAGTCTACTAATTTCTACCTTGTAACCTTAACCACTATACAAAAATTTATATATTTATAACCAAATTGTTTTATAATCCATATAAAAACAACGGTGATGAATGTAACTAGTCCTTTTTTGTGACCGTGTCCTTAAAGCATTTATAACAGATTATTTCTCAACCAATATTATTAACAGAACTTAACTGCCATCTAGTTAACTCCTTTACATAGAACAAGGAAGACTGTTTTTAATGAGATATTAAGGAGTAGTAGGGATTATAAAGACATTGGTATAGAACATAATTTCTCACACTCCTTGTCATTTCATTTAAAATATACTTAATATATTTTGTAAGGCTGCAAACATTTTGAAAATGATTTGGAAGTACTTAAGACCTGATGTAAGGACACCCTTAGCTTCTCTCTATTACTTTTTCAAGTATGCAAGCCTGAAAAATGATGCCACTGCTTTAATAGTCACATTAAAGACATACTATTGTAATTATTAGATATGATAGAACAGCATTGCCTGTTTTTCAGGCTTATGTATTCATTTGTACTTGGAGAATATTGTCCAAAGCAGAGGAAAATGAAAGATTTCTTAATGTGTTCAGTTTAAAAATATGCTATTTTAATGTTTTACTGGGGAAAGCTGTAATCAATTTACCAATAATTGTTGATTGATCCTCTTTCTCATAATCCTTAGGACAGTGAAAAGAAAGGATTTATTAATAAAATCTATGCCATTCAGGAAGTGTGTATCAGTGTTCAGAACGTCCTTGATGAGGTGGCTTCTCTTGCAGAAAGGATTAAGAAGTAAGTAATGGATTCTTAGCTATTCTCAGCTTATGTTCATATATGTGTATTCCCATTTCAGTTACAAAATGTTACATATTTTGAATAAAGGACAAAAATGTCACTACAAAAATCACATCATTCTTATTTAATCATTAAAGTTCTATCATTTGGACCAGAATGCTAAAATAATATGTTATCTAATGTAGAACAGAAACAGAAGAAAACATAAACCTACATTAAAGCAGAGGGACATAATTCCTTCTTTTATTAAGAGTCTATCCTGATAACCAAATATGAGAAAAAGCCTAGGATAGATAATCTTAGAGGGAACTGTTTAAACTTCATCTTTTCAATTTTTTATTCTTTTATTTATTATTAAATGTGTAGGTTACCTGACTTCCAAAGACTCTGAGATTCAGATACAAACATTAAAACAGAATACAATCAGGAACCAAAATAAGGAATAAAGATGACAAAAATTGAACTTGGAACAGAAAAAAGAATCTAAGGGATCTTCATTCACTGTCCTAAAGGCCTGAGAGAAGAACTGGGTCTTCAGGCTCATTTGAAATACCATACAGTAGGATCCATCCAGATCTAGAGGAGACGCTCATTCCAAAGGGCTGGCACTATTACAGAGATACAATACACTATTACAATGGATACAATAGATGACATTATTTAATTAAAAGTACCTGGGTTGCACCAACACTGCCGGATTAATCAACCAGGCAATACTATGGGAAAGATTTGTGTATTTCGCTTTAAAGCCAAGAGGCACAGTATCAGGGAGGAGATTTGGAGAAAATTTTAGAAAAAATTGCATAAAGTTCAGTTTCTACAAAGTGTAAATCATGGAGTGTAGAGCAAATTTTAGGTCCAAAATTGCTTTTTAGAGTTTGGGTCCAAAGCACCAACACACAGCATATTTTATACTCATATATATTCAAAAACATATTGTTCCATTTGAAGATTTTTATTCTACCTGCTGCTGGTTGTTTTTTTAATTTTTTATTCTGTGATGCTATTGTATTTCTGATCTGTTAATTTTTCATTCAGTATATTCAACTGGACTGTTCCATTCTTAAGCTGGCTGGCCATTGTTGCCCTCTGTGTGTTCACAGTCATCGTATATTTCATTCCACTGAGATACATTGTCCTTGTCTGGGGTAAGTAGAGTCTTTTCCCCCTCCAGAATTCTCTATAGAACATAGAACAAATAGCTTTAAATTTAAGAGATGTATTATCTCTAGTGAATATCTGATAGTGGATGGAGAATGTCCTCTTTCTAAATTCTGAATGTATCAGATGGAGGTTTATACCAATAAAATTGAACAAGATTGCTGTTCCTCTTCTTCCTTATACACATTTTCTTAACATGTACTTTTTATAAATACAAATGTTGAGCCAGTATTAAAAAAAATAATGGGTATATTGGTACATTGGCATTCATGTTTTTGAATATATTGAATCTGTATTAGCACTTATCATTCTGGCATTCAAAAGCCCAATTTGGCACTACTCATCTATGGCTTTTTGCCAAGTAAAATTATTTTATTGATAGAGGTTATGTTAAAACCAGGAGTTGCTGTTTTCAAGGAAAAAAGTATGAAGCACTAATCAAGAATGGATGTACTAATCAAGAATGCTTATGCAATTAATTTTACAATGACATTAAAACACCAGTACTGATCTATCTGAACTGTTGCTTTGTTCAGGCATCAACAAATTTACAAAGAAACTCCGAAATCCATATGCAATTGATAACAACGAACTACTTGATTTTCTTTCCAGAGTTCCTTCAGATGTGCAAGTGGTCTGTATATATCTTTGATGTTAAACTTGAAGATATATTATTTTGGGGGGGGATTAATTTTCTAATTAAATTGTGAATAAATAGTGAGTAAATGTAAGTTATATTACACTAACTTGCAACAGCTTCAGAGATATAAGTTGATGAAAGCAGAAAACATCACTGTAAAAAAACAAATCATTTCACTCAGTGCACTAAAATATGAAGCTAGTCATGTGAGGATGCTGTGATGGCCACCCTTTGCACTGTAAAAAGTCCTCATTTGATGGAAGCATTTACATTAGCTGAAAACTGCCGCATTATTCCTCAAAGAATACTACACTAAGAATATTTCTACTGACACCTATTTGTTCCTAGATTGTACAGTTATAATTGTAGCTACCTTTGTTATAGAGCTCTGAATTGTCCTAACTTTAAAAATGTCATTTTAAAAAATTTCTGGCTTTTAAAAAAGTTGTTATTGGTCTTCTAAAAAGTTATTCCTTATGCAAGTGGGGTAGGAGAAGGCTTTACTGAAATGTTTACTGTCATGGTCTCTTTTCCAACATACTCATTGTGTTATTGTTATTTTTGTTTTCCTTCTTCCCCTTGACCTAATAATTTGCCATGGCTTGCATTTTAGGAATGATGCCCATGTTGCATATTGTCTGGACAATATTGCTTCCTTCCCTAAACATTTCTAGCCCCATTGTGTAGTTTTAGAAAAAATCTTGCTTTACTAAGTTGAAATTGATGTCTGAACTCTATGTTTAAACAGGTGCAATATCAAGAACTGAAACAAGACCTTTCTCACAGTCCAAGTAAGAGGAAGAAAAATAACCTTGGTTAGTCAATTCCATGTGCTGGGCAGATCAACATCTGAACAAGGCATACCACCTGAGCAGGATTTCTTCTCTTTCTAATTTTTTGTTTATTCTCTTTTGGGTTGTGATTTTTTTAAAAAAATTGGTAATCTTAATGAGAAATGTGTAAATATTGTACAGAGAGATTTAGCAGGGAAAATATTCTTTCCTTTGTACAGAACTACAGTGAAAGTTTGAAATTTAGCATGCTCCAGCTTTGTAGATGAGAAAAGCCATCAGTAGCATGAATATGGAATAGTACGTGATAAGCACATACAAAGGGATATAGATGTGCTAAATGTAATTTAATTCATGCTAATTAATATTAAGAAACCAAATAACTGATCTTTTTATCCTAAAAAGGATGTTCTCTTTAAAGTTCCATGTTATACATATTACTAGACATGCCGAGAAAAGCAAATTCATTTATTTTTTCTACCACTATCCTTGCCTGCTGCAAATAACCAGACATTATAAGTTAATCAGGGCTTGCTGGAAGTAAATGAGTTACATGCAACATGCAAATGTCTTAATGGATCTCCAAAGATTTAAAGAATTTCTTGATACTTTTATCATTCCACTACAAGATTTCGAAAAAATATTCCTATATTTAAAATTACTGCCAGATTTATAACTGATTCCATATCTAACTTTTATAAAAAAAATTAATCTTGATTTGTATTTGTTAGCCTCATGAACAACCTGCATATATTTCAAAAACAAAATAAGTTTTAAGCACATTGCTTCAGATTACAGATTATGAACATCTTCTGTGCACCTAAATAATACTTTAAGTTTACATTATCCTAAATTTTTATAGGAGTCAATGGAAACAGGTAGATTTTCTTTGTTTTTTTCTGTAATAAATTAGTCTTTTCTCCAGAAGGTTAAGTGGACAATTATATGCAAACCATTTTATATTATACAAGATATTGAAGTTTAAGCTATTATTGCATAACAAATAGCTTTGGATATATATACTTAACGACATATAGGAATATTGATTTGAGCCAGTATACTTTTTTTTTAAAAAAAAAGCTTACCACATAATTTTTATAGAAAACTTCCAAGGGATGTAAAAAACAAAGTAAAGATTAATTTGTGTCCTCAGGGGGAAAAGGTTTCTATGCTTTTCATTTAGAATATTTCTCTTGAAATTTCCCCAGATTTTCTTGCCTATTTATACAATCTACTAGAAAGAATACTAAACTGCAGAGAAAGCTAACCCTGAACATGTTTTCTTGAGTAGCCAGTTTTGATATGCATATGTATAAAGAAATTTTCTGGTTGCTTATTATTGATGGGCAATATTTAATTAATGGAAACAAAAACTTTTATTGATGTGAATATTGGGAAAGAGAATATAACTCTAGAACATTACACTGATTTAAAAACTTTTTGCAAAATATGTGAAAGGTTTTTCCCTGTGATGTCCTCCTTTATTATTACCTTGTGGACATACATTTCCTGCACAAAATACTTATTTATGCCATTAAATACGATGATAAAATGTTTGGATGTTCCATGTGAACTACATAAGAATAAGCATGCATCTCTCTCTATCTGTGTATCCATTTTATTTGCACAGGAATATCAGGGATCATATCCTGAGTGTTATTTTCAGTTCGTGGCTCTAGTAACAGCTTAACTCTTAGATAACTTTTGTCTGAAAACAATTCCAAGTGATACTGGACTGCCTCCTAAATCTTCCCTCCTGGTTAAAGAGGGATAAAGCTGTCAGTTTCACAATCTCCCATACTGCATTTTAATTCTCAAATTCCCTGTTATGTATATGAAGAAATGTGTGAACACAGATAACCAAACTAAACAAAATCCTAATTTTCACTTCTGTGCATCCAAGCCTTTTGCCAAGCAATTCAAGCTTCCTTTTCAACCTAGTCTTATATTCTTCTGCACTTGCTGCTTGAGAAGACTCCAGCTCCCCTTTTTCCACTTGAAGGAAGTTCACCCAGTGAATGCCATAAAACTTGCTATTTGAAAATATTGAAAAAGTAATTATGAAATAAAGTATGACCAAAACTTCATGTCTATATATCCATATAGGCTACATGAATACTGTGAACTTAATTGGAATCTTTCAACTCCAAACCACTCACTTACCATCCAGCCACAAAAACCTCAGCCTTTAGTCCTTTTGTAAGGAGTAATTGTCCAGAATACATCTGGGCAATCTCACAATCTCTCTTTTCTCTGAAGAGATTTTGCCAGCTAGGTCTGCTTTCTGATCAGCGATGTCCATCATAATGCCGTTTCCACACCTTCAGGGCCATCTAGGTCTTCATTGGAAATCTTCCCACATAGATTTTTTTCTCCCAAGGCAATCAATCCTTAACCTGTTCTTACAAGTCTCCCAAGGACATACACTCATCACCATTGTAACTGAGTCCATCAATCTTGCTGCTGGTCACCTTCTCTTTCTTTCTGTCTTTCCCAGTATTATAGCTTTTTTGGAGAGCTGTGTCTTTGCATAATACACACAGATAATGTTCTGATTTTATGATGTAAAACTTTAGTTCAAACCTGATTTGGGGATCTGGAAAACATCAATTGTAGAAAAAAAAACTGGGAATAGGTCTGGCCAGCTTGGGGCCAAATCCAAAGTGAATTTCTCAATTCCAAAGCTCTTGTCTCACATTGATTAGCATGGAAAAATTCACATATATCTCTGACTTAAAAAACTTTTAAGGAGAGCACAATGACATTTTAATTAATAGACAACAGGTGGTCCTTGTTTAACAACTATTCGTTCAGTGACTTTGAACTTACAATGTGTTGAATGATGGGTAGTTACAATTGAACCTTGTACATAGGACTGGTGTAGCATCCCCTCAGACATATTATTGCTGGTTGCAACTTTCTTTGCTGGCTTTCTAAAAGCAATCAATGGAATAACCAGCAGAAGATTACAGATGGTGACCATGTGCCATCTTTGCTTAACGACCCATATGATTTAGTTAACAATGGCAACTGGAAGTGCCAGAATTTCTATAGTTGTGGTATGGTCATTTGATTTTGTGCTTTATGATCACATTGCTTAGCAATGGAAATCCTAATTATTGTTGCTAAGTGAGGAGTAGTTGTATCTGATAACATATGGAGTCTTCAAAAACTAGAGGTGGGTAGTTGGGATTTGATTTGAAAAGTATTCTTCAAAATTAAAGAATAACTATTTGTTTATTGCATAAAGCCTGAACTATTATACTTGCAAGAGTTTTTATGCTAAGGAGCTTTTACAGTTTTCAGGTGATGAATATGCCTTCCTCAATTCTGGGGAGAGGGAATTTATCTAGGGAATAAAAATACGGTCATTGTAGAGGTTGCTTATGTAAGAAACCAGCCACAACTACATGATCAATTTTAATGTTGTAGCTGGAAATAGAAGAAAAGCTTAACAATGGATTATGCAATAAATGATGGAGTAACTTTGATACATAAATTAGGAACTTATTTCAGAAGGAATTATTCCAAGCCTGATTGATCCTCTTAGCATGTCCACATCTACTTTTAATTAGCCGTTCAGTTTTAATTGTAGGCAAAAGAAGAAGTCCTAACTTCCTTAATGCACATATGCAATAAGACAGTTTTTAGGCTATATTGTACTGTAGACTTTTCTGAGCAAGTAAAAAAGTAGAAAAGAATTATAATCTTTCAGCCCTGAGAGAAAGTTTAACTTGATTTTGAGGAAGAAAATGTAACACGTTGAATCTTTTCACATAACAGCAGGAGATGATTCACATTTTGCAGAGGGTGCAAAATGTTTGCATGCAATTAAAAATAATAACATTAGATGAGACAGTTCTCATGGTTATATTTATATATCATTTACATCTATTCAATATAATTTTAGAAGACATGGCATAACCTATTCTAGAAAGAGTAAGAACTTTGTTAATGGAACTTGTTCAAAGAAAATCAGCTAGAAATTTTTCAGATACTTATTTTCTAGATTTTTTGTTTTAGATTGGTACCCATGCTATCAAAAGCATTTTTACAAATTTATTAAGGCAAAAAACCCCACTTAGCTTAATATAATGCTGAGTCTGAATTCTCTTGAAATATGTCCATAGTAGAACTTTCAGAAGTGGACTCAGAACTGGTAATACTCAGTTACTGACTGTAACTGGAACTAGGACTCTATTACTAAGTGATGTGTCATAAAGCAAAAAAAAAAAAAAAATCACATGACCATGCCAAGTTATGATGCAGTTCTGATTGCAGTTGTTAAGCAAATCCCATTTAGTCCTTCTGTGTGATATCACATAACCATGACTTACCACTTCTTGCCAGCTTCCCCATTGACTTTGCTTGTTGAAAGCCTGGAATTAAGGTCACAAATGGTGATCAACTGAGACTCAATGACCATTATAATTGCGACCTGGTTACTAAGTGGCCAAATCATGGTAGTGTGACTGCCAGGATGCTGTGATGGGCACAACTTCAAGGACCAGTCACAAGTCTCTTCATTCAGTGCTGTCACATCAAATCGACACATCACATTTTTCTACGACCATTTAACATATAACACAGGAATTTGAGGACATTTTAGATAATTCCAAAAGATGTATTTATACAAAGTTAATAAACATTGGACTTCCTGGGAAATAATTGTGAAATGAATATGGCTCTGTTTTCAGCAGAGTTGACAACTGTGGTGAAATGAGAAGCCAGCAAACAGATTAAAGTGTCAAATTTCCTCTCTGGATAAAAGGGAGGAGCTGCGATTGCCCATAAACATTCCATACAGAATCTGCCAGTGGAAAGACTGTAAAACAGTGGTCTCCAGCAGGATTTAGAGCTCTGAGACCTGAGGGAAAATCAATTTTGCCCAAGCCGCAGTTCAAAGCCTTCAAACAGTACTAGATTTCCCCATTTCCTTTCTTAATTACTTTGGGAACTTCCTTGTTAATTGCTTTTTGAATATCAAAAACCTTCAGAATGACAAGTTTCATTGTACTGGGCAATTCTTCTATATTCAGTGAATGAAGTTTCATGTAAGTTTAAGATCTTTAAAAAATATTCTGAAATAAACAGCAAAAGGGAGAATATAATGTTGATTTTGAAAAGTTATACATGGACTAAGGGGCCCTATGGATTGGAAATAAGATTTTGAAATTATAAGAATCATTCCTATGGGTTGTTTAAAATCCTGTTTAAAATGTATGGAGATTTCTCTAAGAAATCATCCTGTTGAAAAATATTGGGGATAAGAAAAAATATGAGAATATTTTGAAGGCTGGACACTAGAACTAACCAGAAATTAATTATAATTAAAAAAGAAAAGACCCACTAATATAGAATAAAGTATTTTAATTTTGGCAAAATTTAAGAATATTTGGGAACAAATTTCTATAGTCTGCTATCTTGTATTAGATAATCATATCCACTGTTGTAACTGTCTATTGCAGGGGTGTCAAACTGCCAGCCCATGGGCCGGTTTCATCATATCGGAGCCGCGCCCACCCCATTGCCGGCAACGGCAAAAAAGCTCCGATAGGTTACGTGACATCACGAGCTTGACATGTCTGGTCTATTGTTTTAAAAACATACTTATTTTTTCTATTGCATTTTTATTTATTTTTAAGAACATGTATTTTTCTGATAATGTATATATTTTTTAACTTTTCAAAATCAACATTATAATCTCACTTTTGCTGTTTATTTCAGAATATTTTTTAAAGTTCTTACAGTCACATTACCATGATTTGGTTTGGTTTGACTTTTTCTTTTTTAATAATTTAAAAAAGATTGTCTGCTACTATAAAATGGGTTTAAAAGAGGAGATAGAAGACGATGCAACTGAGATCAGATTGTTTTGGATTTCAATTTAAAAATGACATGTTACAAGAGGAAAAGATTATACACTGAATTTACTAATAAAACTGACTGATGTCTTAATAACTAATAGGACACAATAAGAGTTACTTGAACAACTTTCATCTCTTAAACATAAAAGAGATGTGTTATACTCATAAATCAGTTCTGAGAAAAGACAAAAATAAAATAAACTTTTGGGACACTGTTTAAAGAGAATAAACATCAAGATTTTTAAAAGCAAAAAGGAATATTAAGTTGGCCTATTTGATTTAAAGTAAATAAATTTGATTAAGATTTTCTAGTAGTTCTTAATAGTTTTTTCTCAGCGAGGACTAAATGACAGCTTTAAAGCTTTGTTTATAGGTAAAATATGGGAATAAGGGGTTTTTAATTTCATTTTTAGACAAACTGTTTAGAATATGATTAACTCAACTACTGAGAAACTAGCAGTTTGTAATTAGTGGGAAGTTCATTTGAGCAGTATTAGGAAACCATCATAAGACTTTTTTGAACTGGGATAATTCATTTTCTACTATTTATTTGCTATGCATTTAAATTCTATGTGAGTATACATTATACAATCTATGATTCTTCTCTAATATTCCTGATTACAGTATTAATACACAATGTTGATTTATATTTTAGCAACTAGTCTGTAAAGGCTAGTTTGGAGTAGTGTTTAAGGCTCCAGGTTACAAACCAGGAGACCATGAATTCTAGTCCTGCTTAGGCATGAAGTCAGCTGGTTGATTTTGGTCCAGTCACTTTCTCAGTCTTAGGAGAAGGCAGTGGCAAACTACTCCTGAAAAATAGTCCATGGACTTGGCAGGCAAGCACCAAGTATCAACACTCACTCAAAGGTATTAATCTCCGTTTTTAAAAAAACCCACTATTTTTGTACTGTTTTATTGACTTGTAGACTGTTACTTTCTTATTGTGGAAGAAGCTGTCTAGGTCAGGGGTAGGCAACCCAAAACACTGAAAGAGCCACTTGGACCCATTTCCCACCGAAAACAAAACACTGGGAGCTGCAAAACCCTTTTGATATCTAAAATGAAGATAATACTGCATATATCCTTTTTTACCTTTATTTTGTGTGTGTGTGTGTGTGTGTGTGTATACACACATACATACACATATACATATATTTATATATATACACACACACATACATATATACACACACCTATAATAAAGGTAAAAAGGGATATGTGCAGCGTTACCTTCATTTTAGATGTCAAAAGGGTCTCTCTCTGTCTCTTTCCCTTCCTCTCTCCCTCTTTCTCTTTTTCTTTCTTTTTCTCTCTTTTTCTCTCTTTCCTCTCCCTCTTTCTCTCTTTTTCTCTCTCCCCCCCCTCTCTCTCCCTTTCTGCTCACCTGGCAAGCTGGCTTCAAGCTGTTCTCCAACAAGCTCAGGGGTAGGCAACCTCAGCTCTTTTATGACTCATGGACTTCAACTCTCAGAATTCCTGAGTCAGCATAGCTGGGCTAGCTAGCTCTCTCCTGCTTCCTGCTTTCTGCAGAGATGCAGCAAAGAGAGGAGCTCTGCCCAAATAAGCTTTTCAGCTCGTCGGAGAATACCGTGAGTCCACTCTTTTTTACACACACACACAGAGAGAGAGAGAGAGAGAGAGAGAGAGAGAGAGAGAGAGAGAAGGGGAAGGCTCAGAGAGAGAGAGAGAAGTGGAAGGCTCAAAGAGCCGCATGTGGCTCCAGAGCCGCAGGTTGCCGACCTGTGGTCTAGGTAATGAAAGAACACAATTAGCTGAATAACTATACTTCATTTTTATGTAGTTAATTTATATCCCACCTTTCTGTTTATTCCAACACTCAAGGGGCTTACATTTTTATACCATAAAATGTATAAAATGAAACAAAATTATTTAAAAGCTTGGCAAAGTGTTTGTGTCTGTTCCCCATCTTCTTGAATGTTGGGAGAGTGGAAGCTAAATGCACTTTCTTAAAGAGAAAAAGCACCAAAATAGATCAAGATAACTATTACTAAGTCTAACTAGCTCAGAAAGGTTACAGTTGGTACACTAACATAACTGTGTAATTACAGAAATATGCCTTTTTCCTGCTACTATCTACGAATGCAATGACGCAAGATTACTTCCAAATGGCAAAATCTGCTCTTTCCGCAGGAATTAACCACATCCAAATCAAGTTTCATCTCAGTCCAATACCATTCTTCACCAACAACATTTTCACCTTTATTTTAGCTTGTTCTCCCTCATCTGGCGTTATCGAGATTAGTGGTATTCAAGAGTACTGAGGTTTGGGTTGCTTTAGAAATAATAAATGGATGGATGGATGAATGAATGAATGAAAAATAGATGATAGATAGATGACAGATTATAGCAACATGAGTCCATTATCCCCAGCATCATTTTAAGGTACATCCCAACAGGAAAGATAAAAAGCAAAACAAAACCATTCCTCCAGTGCTTAACTCTGCCAGAGGGACCAGATAGATAAAGGGCTGATGGTATTAAAAATGTCCAAGTGTAATCTCCCAGCATGGTCTAATAGGTCTCAGATAAAACTCCAGTTAATATGATTGCAGAAAATCTGTTTCACCCAGATGGAACTGGAGCTGGAAAACACCCTTTTTAAAATCACCTTATCCAAGAAGAGCATATTTAACAGACGTATAATTGAAATAATGTTCTGGATCAAGGAAAAGCTTTTTCAGTAAAGGTCTTATGTAGGACATAACAGTCTTCACAGGAAGATATTGATCATCTCCCAACTTCACCTGATTTAATCAGTCAGAAAGGGCAAGGATCGAGCAAAGTCCTTGTATCTGTCTTCTGTTTTCGTCTTTCTGAGCTGCAAGATGAAGAATATTCATATGAACCTGCCAAATGGTTGCCAAGGTTACCTTCCTGTGACCTACCCTAATACTAGAATCCAAATTGAGGGGAATGCAATAGATTTTGCAAATAACAATGAAACAGCTCATTTTTCTGGCTTCCCTCACCCCACATCACAATGGAGGATTTCCGCCTAGTACAGAAAAGTATCACTGCCCCATTTTTGTGCAGGTGCAATGGAAACAGCTCATGGATCAGCCAGGGCTCTAATGATAGGACAAATTTATCTACTTATTTATAAAATAAATGTTGAGGCCCAAATGACTCCACAATGTCACAGTGGTTTAGAAATTTAAAAAGGCCAGAAACACGCCAATATCAGAAGTGAGTTGCTCAGAGGAAACAATAAAAAACCCCTGCCCCATAATACATCTAAAAGGGCCTGACAACCTCCAAAGACTGGAGAAGAGCCAAGTTTCTAAGGCTCACTGAAAGGTAGGCAGGATAGGGGGCATTTCAAAATTATGGGAGGCTCCAGCAGAGAAGGCATGCTTCTGATTTCCATTAGATGACATTGTTTAATTGGACTTGGAGCATGCCAAATGTAACCATACAGGGCAGATAGAAACCGAAGGAGACAAGTGATTCTTCAGATAATCAAGCCCTATGCCAGTGGTGGCGAACCTATGGCACGGGTGCCAGAGGCGGCACTCAGAGCCCTCTCTGTGGGCACACGCACTGTCGCCCCAGTTCTGGACCTTCAGCTGAGTTTTATAAAACCTTTTTGCTTTAGTCCTCTACCGCTGTGTGCAAAAAAAAAAAAAGGTTCAATCAGTTAATTTCAACTTCTGGTGGGAAAAAAATAGATCTTGCAAAGTTGGAATTGATTGAACTTTTTAGTCCCACCCAGTCTGCCATTACCACCGCAGCCACGCCCACCCAATTGGCCACACCCAGCCAATGGGCCACACCCAGCCAATGGGCCACACCCACCCAGCACTCGACGATGCATAAGTGGGTTTTGGGTTGCAGTTTGGGCACTCAGTCTCTACAAGGTTCGCCATCACTGCCCTATGCCATATAGGGCTTTACAGGTAACAAACCAGTACCTTGAATTGCTCCTAGAAACATATTGATCATCGGTGAAATGATCAAAGAAGAGGCATTATATGAGCATTAACAAAACTTGCTCATGACAGCTCACACCACTGCTTCCGTGTATATCTTAACCAGGATGGGGTAAATCCTGAAACAAGCCCCCCTTCTGAGATTATTCTTTGACCTCTGATATGCTCCCTCTCCCTCTCTCTGTTTGCACAGTTGGTCCAGAAAAATATACTGATCAATGATACAGAAGGTCCTTGAGAGAGCAGAGGACCACTGAATACCAGCATTATCAATCAGCACAAAAAATTCTATCTCAGCTTTATACCCTGCTTTGAAATAAAACTGAAAAAAAAGTTGGATAAATCCAGCCATAAAAACTGTCCGGAGATGGATTAAAAAAAATAGTACACACAAACTTCATTGCAAAATCTGAATCCCATTAAGTTTTGAGGAAGACTTTCATGGGTAGGCAGCTTTGTCTGATAAGATAATCTTGACAGGAAGGTGAGATTCCTTTGTACCTTGAGACCTGTGTAGAGACTAGAAGGAACAAGAAGAATGTGTTATGACCCAGCAAGACTGCTTTCTTTGAAGGGTGAAGCAGGAGGAGTTTTTAGTTACTAGAAAAAAGTATGTGAGAACAATCTTTCTTTGGGGCTCATAATTTTGAAAGTTCTCCTTTGTCCCTTTCAGAGAGGGAAGAGAGGTAGACTTATTGGAAAAAATACCGATGCTCTGGTATTTTGTAGCAGCAGAGATGGAATCTTACTTTCCTCTACCACCCTTTTTCAAAGGAAAGACACTTCTTTCATTCAATATACTTGACTCATTTGAACACAAAATATTTACTGCTTTAATTGGCAGCAATTAAAGTTGCAGAGATGCAAATATTCAAAGCAAAACATTTAAAAATGAAGTACAAATGTTTAAAAGAGTTTGGGACATTTATTTTTTTTAAAAGTATATGCAAGATATTACATAAAAATGATTTGTTATATTTTAGTATTGACAACAATATAAAGGAACATATACATCATCACAAAAAAGCATTCAAACTTACAGACCGGTATTCTGAAAACCCGTCAGTGTAGCAATCAAACCATCATTGTATAACAATAATTTGAAAATTAACTGAATTAATGCAGGGTAGTTGTTTTAACCCACTTGTGCATTGTAACAAAATTCACACAAATGTAACAGAAAGCCATTTGTTTGATATGTGAAGGAACCACGTTGGGCCTCAGACTAACATTTTATCAATCCATTCAAAAATTCGAAATTTGCAAGAAACTAGTTTATTCATAGTGGTACTTATTAAAAAGCAAGAATCATACTGAGTTGTCTAATCCTGGCATATTCCAAAGCTAGTGTAAACTGCAGTTCCTGAACTGAGGAATCACTGAGAACTATATAGTTAGGATAAAACTAGAAATCTCTTCAACTACTCCACAAAAGAGAGGAGACTTTAGTGGATGATCATAATAGTTTGCATATTAGGGTTCTCTAATAGGGCTTTCAACTAAGCCAGTCTTCAACCTTTCATATGTTGGGACAAAACACAATTTTTCATGTGTTTCACTTATCCAAACAAAAATTGCCATATTAATGTTAGTTATGTATTTTAGGCAAGTCACACTAACTTTGAGGTTTGTTAGCTAAATATGAACCAGACATCTGAACAGTAATTATAATTTGCTGTAACATTGTGAAAAAAGCTTGTTTTTGTTCTCCTGGCTCATCTTTAATATCCTCAATAGTTTTCTGAAGATATTCTGGGAGTTTATGAAAAGTTTCAAGCTCTCTAAAATAAAGATCTATTAACCAATGATTAGAAGAGTTCATATTAAGTTTATAACAGTCATCTGTCACCAGGAATGCATCTGAGCAACCAAGATTTTTAAAGGTAATAGGAAAAGGTTTAAATAAGTTATATACAGAACAAAGATTTAACAACATCTTGCAAAATAAGATTATCCATAATTCTTTGCGTTGATTATAGAAATTACTTTGTACTTGAGCATGAAATTCTTCAACTGTCTGTTCTGGCATCACAATATTCAAAAGATGTTGCTTAGTTGCTGGACATTTTATGTAATCAAGTGGTAACTTTCCTTTAGAATCTTTTTGTTGCAACAATATTGATCCTGCAGGAGACAAAACATTAGTGAGAAAGTATACACACATATGTAGACAGAAAGTGCTTAAGAAATGGCTGGACTCTCCATGAATCTTAAAGATGGGCAACACAACAAAATCAGATTTTAAAAAACTAGATAAATAGCATAATTTAAATCAAGATTATATGATGTTTATGATTTTAGCCTGCTAAGACATTATATTATAGCTATTACAAAATCTGTTACTGCAAGATTTATATCTTTTTTTTTGAGATGTTTCACTCCACTCCCTAGAACTTCATAATCACATACAAAGTTTTTTTTTTTCAAAATTGAGGGCTCCTGTTGTTTTAAGTAGTACATAATTTATACCTTAAAACTCTCTAATAATGCAAATAAAACTTGTCAGCAACCAGGGTTGATGCGGACTCCAGCTAGTGATCCAACTCCCCCCTCAAAAAACTTTCATTTGTTGTACATAGTTGTATGTATAAAAATAGGCTACAATTCTAAGCATATTTCAATTGTTTGCAAAAATGTAAGCATCCTGGTAGAATTGTAGTCAATGATCTGAAACATGCCTCCAATTCAAACACGTAATAATTACAAGACAGAAAAATAATGGTTTTGGAATGGGCTTCACAGTTCTTTAGAGCTGACCGTAATTGAAAGTAATCTCAAATATGTAAGGAGACCCAAGAATATTTCTGCTATCGAAGTGTTCTGCATAGAAGAGTAGGAAAACATTGAAAACCCTAATTTTACTTCCATGCACTCAAGCCTTTAACCAAACAATTCAAGCTTCCTGTTTCAACCTTACATTTTTGAAATGATGCTGCCCATTCCTGCACTTTCCCCAACTTTACTTTTCATTTTGTGTCTAGAAAGTTACATGACTACTCCAAACGTACTACTCCAACTGCAGTTTCACATAAAGGCCTGTACAGCATTCTGAAGGCCCAGGAATAACCGAGTTGCCTGTCCCAATTGCGGTTAGTAAACAAGGACTACCTGTAAACCATATTAGTTCAATGAAATGCCTTCTGACTAGACATATGGAATGCAAAAGGGATGCAATGGGGCATACACATCCCAAACTATTACTTGGTTTTCATCAGCTTATATTATATTACAACAGGGCGTCCCTGGGGCAACGGTGATGTCACCAGCTGACATTACCATGAAGCATTTCGGTGTTTCTGACACAGAAGTGTAGCATATTACAATAGAATCCAGTATATTTCTTTGCTACGTTTGAAAGAAAGCTTCCAGAAATCCCGACTAACAATAATCATGAAAGCTAAAATTCTAGGTTATGATCCCAGTAAGCTGGAGAAATCTGATTACATAGAAGTGGGGTTTGCTCTCATTTTATATCCTAAGGCCTTGCCCTGTTGGTGTTGCTGGGAGTGATCTTGATGGTTCTTGATCAGGCTATTGTCTACAGTTAGCGTGTTCATCTATATTAGTGGTTCCTTGATTGGGGTACTGTTTACCCCTTGATTGTTGCACTAATGTTAATTTTAGTATTACTCTCTGCTATTGTAGGTGTTGATTCCTGGTGAAAAGGTGTTTTGGTATTTTTATTTCCTTTTTGGCTTTTTGACTGTCTTTCTTGAATGGTATGTAGATGTTGTTAATCTTCACCAACTCCTACCAACACTGACAGGACAAACACTAGCATATAAAATGGAGCAAACCCCACTCCCTTCTAGCACTGATGTTACCTAGTTTGGTAATAAAATGTCTGAAAGAAAACAACGAAGCTCAGAGAGCACCAAGGACCTCACAGTTGAACCCCGAACTACAAACTACAACCCTGAACTAGTCTCTTCTATCAGTAAATGATTACAGTATTCATTCTGGTTTTTAAGTATACTTTCATGTCTATTTTTCATTAAACTTTCTGTATGTAGTTATGATCTATGTAAATATACTTCTGTAACATCTTTTGCAACAGAAATAACAGATTAAGATAAAAACTTTATTAATCAGGTTTTTGTAGACATCTCATAATCTGAGTTGTCATATCAGATAATAACAGTCTCCATGACAAAATAATTCAGAATTGAGCAAGCAGATTGTGCTTTCCAGATTTCTATTTCAAATGTTTCAACCAGCTGCATAAATACTCATATATTTTTGAGAGCACATTATCTCTGCTATATTGATTTCAAAAAAAAAAAACCTGACAAAATTCCTCCCTTTTATTCTAGAAAACAATCTGGTTCATGCTGCAGCCTAACTATGTCATAAAAGGGATGAGCTTCTGTACTTCTATTACATCTAGGATTCTCTCTATCCACCATGGCAACTCATGTCTCTATAGGCCAGAAATTTGGACAATGATGTAAACATCTGCGATGGCTTTCCATTATGTTCTTACTTTGTAGAAAGTCATGCAAATTAGTCTAATATAAAAGCCTTTGATATGATAAAATCACTATATTGTCAAGGAACATATGATTTTTTTTTTTGCTTCTACCTGTCTACACTGAGTAGCTTGCCTAGAAAGCATTTACCCTAATTCAGCAAGTATGTAGACTTTGTAAAATGATTAATGATTTTAATCAATGATTAAAAGTGTGCATCCAGGATTTACTAGAAAGTAAAAGGGAGTGAGAAAAGTAGGGATCTTTTGTTTCTTCTTAACAATGATCGCTGTTCATATTTTGTTAGAATAGGAGAAAAATTTTTATTACTATATAACTCACTGCCATATAGACATTATTCTGTTTAGGAAAAACATCCCATCAATTTAGATTTTACAGGATTGCAAACCACAGGGTAAGAAATATTTTTTTTGAAATTGGAAAATAACATGGGCGGTCATGAAGAATCTGTTATCTACATTTAACTGGAATGCCCTTTTCTGCCTAAAAATTGTTATGCTAAAACTAATACAGTACATGGAGGTAAGAAAAATGTTTGTTGGATAATCCTGGCCAAATTATCATCTTTCAAAGTAACCTGTTTCATAGGGTTGTTATGAGAATTAAAAGATGTGCAGAATATGCGGCACTAACATAAACAGATTAATATTAGTATAACTGTGGTGAAAGTTTATAGATGTAATTAGCTGCAGTAAAGAGAAATGTCATAACTCTAAAAGACAGATGTTGCACTATAGTTACTTAAAAAAAATAAAAGGCACACGGACGAAGAGTGAAAGTTTTGAACGGTTCTGAAGAATAAGAAATGTGAGTAATTCTACTCTGAATATGCAACACAGAGTTCTTGTCAAGCTCTTGTCAAAACCTCTGACAGGCCAAAGCCTGGCAACTGACAGCAAAGATAAGTCTGAGCACACAGCCTGTAAAGTTGCCAGAAGACTTGATGAATGAAAGAGCAAGTAGATCTTCTCCCTTAGGACAAGGGGATCATCCAGTGGCCATTCTTCATTGACACACAGGAAAAATGCACATCTGTCAGTGGAATGCCACATTCAATTGAGGACTTGGACTTGCTGTAATATTGGGTCTTGCATCACTTAGACCGATTGAAGAGAAGCCAGGTATTGGCTGGGCCTGTCATCTGCATGGTGCAGTAGATAAATAAAACACCTGGGAGATTATGTTACTGTTCTGGAAAATATACACTGAGAGGGAAGAACAGGGATATATTGATTGGGAAAGAATGTCAGACAGAGATCAAGCAAATAGCCTTTAGGGGGCAGGAGACATCTGCAAATACAAAGGAATCTTCCAGAGCAAACAAAAAACAATTAATTTGTAATTTGGGGTAAGTTCAGCTAAAAAACTAAGTACAACACTTTTTTACTTTACACAACTGAGTTATATAAATCTAAAAACAAGATAAAAAATGAAATCAGAACGACCCATGGCATAATAAAGAATATTACAAACTATGTTATGCATCTACAGATATAAAATGCTCATGTATATGTTTGTGTAAACTGTTATACAACGTAAGTAAGACAAAAAGGGTCGTATAAGTGGCATCTACAATAGTTTTTAGTGTTTTGTTATTAAAATAAGGCACCTTTTTTAGATGAAACAACATATTTGTTCAATGTAAATAAAAGCACATTGTTACTAAGTGGCACAAAGCAAACAGCCTAAGTATACTGCAGTTCATTGTAATATAATGTAAAATCAAGTTTTGGGATAGTATAAAATGCAATCTATACTATTATTTGTTAAGATAATCTTTAAAGCAAATCTAGAATTCAGCAAATATAAAAAAAACAGCCACAAATAATTTAACTGACAAGATGAATGAGTATAAATATGGCAAGATACACATCAATATTTATGAAAACCTCCAGCTTTCAAAATGACATTCCAAACAGCCTCCAATTTTAATACTCTGCAATTTTTAGAGATTCAAATTTCTCTAAGCTTATTTAGCATAAATGCACTCACCGCCATGCTGAAGTAGAAGCTCAGCAATTGCTACATGTCCGTTTGACAGAGCATCATGCAAGGGAGTCACCCCATCCACTTGACTGAATAGGTTTACTTCTGGACAATGCTGCAAAATTTCACGGACGCACACTGTGCCACCATGGTTACAGGCTTCATGCAAAGGTGTCCAACCGGCATAATCTGAATTATAAATTATGAGGAGTTTGAGGAAACAGCAAAATCCATATTGGGATGTTCATAAAAATGAAAATCAAATTTCTAAAAAAATAATGAACACATTTCTATACAAAAACTTCAGTAAAAATCACATACAATTTGGTACTTTAACTTGATTTAAAAAGAAAGATGTATTTCATTGCAATTTTGCAATAATCTAAAAATATGTTTTCCATAAAGCAGATTTATTTTACTAATATTATTAAAATTAAGATTTTTTTAGAAGTCAAAATGGTGCTGGTCTACTAGAATTTAAATAAAATTCTTATCCAGGAGATTAAGCTATTTACCACTTTGAATTTATACTTATAAAATGGCTAGGTAGGAGTAATTTTTAAATAATTACTGTGCTTAATTGAAAACCCCAAGAATTATATGGAACAAATGACTGGTTCTACAAGCTTTTGTTCCAAGCTCCCACTCAAGTCTTGCTTTTAATGTATTTTTATGGGTAAGAAAATCATTGTGAAAAACGTTACAAAAACATATCTTTCATAGTTATTTGGAAGGCTTTTGATATCTATTCAATACAAAAAAAATCAACCACTTACCTTTAACATTAATATCTATTCCTGGTACAGTCAGAAGACGAACCAATTTCTTCACATTGTTGCTTTTGCATGCAATATGCAGAGCTGTCTCCCCTAGTGTGCAAAATTCATACAGTGTAAACAAAACAGAAAATCAAGGCAATAAGCAAAGCAAAAGGAATTAACAAAGCTATTTGTCAGAACATTCATTCATAAAAAAGATCTCCTCTTCTCAGTGCAAATATATTTAAAGAACATTTAAAAAAAACAACAAGCTTGTCTTCAGTCACAGATCCAGCAAAGATTGCACCATTAAAGGGTTAACATAGGAATTATCTCCCCCCCCCCTTTAGTTGTAAAATGCTTCAGTCACATTATAAAAGCACCAAATGATCACAGAATACATGGGCAAAAATGCTTGGATTTGAAGCCGTAAAAGTTTAGAATGCAGTTGCCCTCCCTTAATTATATTCATGAACCCACATTAAGTGCATGGCTTTTTTTGATACAGCGTTTGTAGCGTAATTCAAATGAATGTTTCTGTCCAAGCACGAGTGCCTCTACACACTCAAGTATAATATGAAACTTCAAATCTGGTAACAGATGGTTTACTGTTTCTCAATAGGCTGTCTGGCTCATGTACAGTACCAGAGTGAAAAGTGGGGGATGGGGGAAATGGAAGCGATTGAAACAAATGGAACAATCTTTTTTTTTTAAACCACCCCCCCACAAATGCAACCTCATTTAGAACTAGAAAAAAGATTAAACAACAAAATCTGCCACTGAAATATGAATTGCAAACTTCTAGGTAATAGTGTAATTGCAGCAGGCTAGGTAAGACTATTAATTTACAATATTTTGATGAACTGATTATATCAGAATAAGAGCATATGAAAAACATGTTGCCCAACATAAATAATGAACACTTTTTTAAAAAACCATTTGTGCCATTGGATTGGGTCATTATTTACCTACAGGTAGAAAGGTAAAGTCAAGCCCTTCATTGAAAAGCACACTGCATACAGCTGAATCTATTATAAGCTACTTTACCAGACCTTGCTTTATATTCAGAACATTAGATTTATGCAAAGAATATTTGGTTGTTTGTTATAAGAAAGTACAATATTCTACCTTCAAATATTTCTGTATTAAATGATAATTATATGCCAATTTGTATTAATGTATAATCTCATTAATCAAAGAAAAAAAATATAAACTTTAAGTAATTGTTTCTTAATTCTTGAGAAATTGGCACAGGCTGAGAATATTAAAAAACCATGCAAATTTGTTTTTTAAAATTTTCCTTTTATTTCAGGCAACATAAGGGGAAGACCATTTTAATTGGATTGCTCTTACCTTTCCTAATAAATGTCAAGCTTATATTCATCACAGTTTTGTCACAGAGATCCTATCAAAATTGTACCATAGTGCATTTCACTGAGTTTGTGCTTTAAGAAGAACTTGGGCAAATTACAAACTGATTATTTAAACATTCAATATTTATATTCCAATATAATGAACAGTAAAAATGCCTTGCATAGCCTGGGCTGAACGCCGAGAAAAACAAAATGCTCCATATCCTTAATAAAGATATGTAACACAGCATACACTTCTGTCTTTGTTCATAAAATGTTTAGGAGCGGAGGAGAGCAAGAGAATTAGACTTTCAAATCAGAAGATAATGCTGATCCTTTCCAAGCACAGATTGGGGTGGATTAGTGAAGTAAGACAGTCAGGATCCACACTTAAGGTATACTCTCAATTTAAAACTTGGTGTGTTTGGCAGATCCAGGTAAGAGGGGGGAATCCTGTAAAAAAGGGTCTACATATGACTTCCCATATTTAAGTATCTGGCGGTGTGCAACATGTAAAGCAGGGAAATGCTGGCTTATGTAATTATGTGATACTACTTTATTGCAAATCCTTTCATGTTTTTTAGCATGTTAGAAATGCACAATACCTTTAAGGTTAATCTTATGAACATTCACATGGTTAGCTGAAGAATGGCAATTTTCTTTGCCATGCAATATGGTAGGCTTGGTTTTTCTTTCAATATATTTTGGTAGTTGAGCAAAGTTATCCTTGGTTTGTACACTGCAAATAAACAAGCATTGAAAAGACGGCATTACATGATATGTTCACATCAAGCAATACTACTGTGTGTCACATTAATAAAGTATTCACAATTTTGACTGCTCGCAATTAAAACAGAAACAGCAACATTTAACATAGCAGCATATAACTCTCCCCAAAATTCAGTAAAATAATAAAAAGTATATAGAATATGGAAAGATACACACACCCTTGTACACACACAAAAACAAACGTGCCCATCACTGAAACAGCAAGCACAATAATTTGCAGACACCACAGGTCACTTAGAGTTCAAGAAATGGGTCAGGTCAGAAGCTGTCCCTCAAAGCAGAATCCTAGTGGTGTTGTAGATGTTACTTACGGTACATCGGGCAGGACTTTGGCTTGGTTCTGCTTATCACCACTTAGCATCAGTAATGCCCTCTGAGACTCAGAGCATGGCCACTGCCCTATTTTCTTTTTCTTTTCTTTCTGCATCTTCCCTTTCTCACACACTCCAGCTTGTAAAGTAGGTAGATAGCAAGAAACCTGTTGCAAGAGTGACATTTTAGTCTGAGCATGTTGAAAGTTTATAATAGCATCAGCAGTCTTTTCTTTAAATAATATCTTTCAGGTAAACATGCTCTGTGTTTATACAACAGTTTTTCATCATTCTTAATGCCAAAGTAATTCCCATGAAACACATTTCTTCTGCTTTTATACACATTATTGGGAATTCAAAACGACTCAACCTGCTATAGCAGAAAAATACAAGGGAAAAAAGTAGCATGAGAAATTTACACAGTCCTGTCCTTCAATGACTGTGACAACATTGTACTGTACCAATACACCATAATGTAGCCTTCGATCTATTGCATTGTTCTTCAAACAGGACTGAATCTAGCCTTTTTACTGACTTTTTTCTACACTTTCTTCAAGGAGAAAACGTGATTTAGCAACACCCATCTTGAAAAATTATACTCAGGAATTAAGTCAAAGCAAGTTTTGAGTTTCTTTCTAATATTTTTTTAAATCAGGAGTCTCCAAACTTGGCAACTTTTAAGACGTGTAGATTTCAACTCCCAGAATTCTTCAGCCAGCATAGGAGGTGAAGTCCACAAGTCTCAAAATTGCCAAATTTGGAGTTCCCTGTCTTAAATAATTTCTTTAATTATGGGCATAAATCATGTTTTGCTAATTGCTATCAGACTGTTTCTCCAAGATCTTCACATTGGGATAGATTCTTTATGTACTATAAATGACAGAGAGCATGTTTTCCTTGAGAAGATGGGGGTTGGGCACTTCTACAATCCACACACTTCTGATAAACTGGCAGACTGACAACAAGAGAGAGAGAGATGAGGCCAAAAGTAAAGAATGGGTCAGAATAAGATTAAAAGAGCAAAGGGCACTTACCATTTTTTGAAGTGAAAGCAGTTCATTAGAAAAAAGAGTGCTGTTTTGGAAATACAGATTTTTAAACACAGCTTCCGCAACAAACATTTCAAGCCACAGAGATGGGATAGAAGAAATGAATACTTTTAATTCTTCATATGAAAAATCTAAAAATAAGGGGAGCACAGATTACATCCTAGACCAGTAATCTGGAAAAAAAAATCCCTTGTAATACTTGCTAAACCTTACATTTTTTGTAATATTAATAAATTATAAATAGTAATTATTAATTTAATTGTCTGAAATAAAAACTGATTAAATTAATAAAAAGAGCAACAATTTTCAATACAATCTTTACCAGGTTTTCAAGCTTAAATTAAAAGCGGCATATCTCTAAACAAAATCTGTATCTCTACTACGTTTTTAAGTAAAACACAGATTCAGAAAAAACAAAGAGTCAAGTTGGCATTTAGGGAAAAAAATACAGAGGCAACATTCTTATTAATCCAAATGAAATTATTACAATTTTAACTAGAATCTCAAAACCTGTACTAGTAAATGTTGGAGATGTGGTTGTATGGATGCTACTTATTATCATATTTGGTGGTCGTGCAGAGAGATAAAAGCATTCTGGATTAAGATATGGTGGAATATCCAGAGAATTTTTAAAAGGAGGGTAAAATTTACTCCACAATTATTTTTGTTAGGTATAGTTACTGATTGTGACACAAAGGAGGTTATATTGATGTTAAACTTGATAACAGCTGCGAGGCTGTTAGTAGGACAATATTGGAAGAAGGAATCTTTGCCTACATTGCAGGAATGGTTTCTTAAAGTGTCTCATTTGGCGGAAATGGCAAAGATTTCGGCTTTCTTAAAGGGACAAACGCAAGAGAAATTTCTTGCTGTTTGGGATAAATGGATAAAATTCATACAATTTAAATTTGATATAAAAAATATTATATAGTTTTTTCATAATTTTTAACTTTATATATATATATATTTTCTATTTTATATTCTTTTTTTATAATTTTTTTTAACTTTTTCTTTAATTAAGCCTATATTCTGCTCTGGGAGGTCCTGGGGGGGGAAGGGGGGGGTTGGGTAGGGGTGGGGGAAGGGGGGTTTTGTTGGGTAATGTTTGTTTTTTATTTGTATATGTTGTTTTTTGTTTTTGTATTGTTTCTTATTTTTTGTAAAATTTATAAAACTCTTTAATAAAAAAAAAAAAAACCTGTACTAGGAGAGCCATTGCCAATATGCCTGTACATACTTTGATTTACATTATGTCTATCGAAATCTAATATATGGTATAAATGGTCTATACAATTTCCTATCTCAAAATGTGGATGTAGCAAATAGTATCTGTTATAGTTCTATACTGTCAGTTGGAAATGGATACAAGAATATAGCTCTGAATTACAAGCTCTATCATGTATTTATGGAGGCCAATTTTAAGGACATATGACTTAAATATTTTTAGCCTTATATTCATGATATACTTTACAAAAGTTCAAAATAATTCATTAGGAAAATATGAATGAGAAGTTCATTCTAGAAATTGTGATAAGTACATAACATTTTTGGTGGGGTATATATAATCAATTTATATTCTGCATACTATGCAGCCAGTGTGTTGTAGTGGTTAGGGTATCAAGATAGAAACCAGAAGATTGTAAGTTTCAGTTCTGCCTTAGGCATAGAGCGAGTGGGTAATCTTGAGCCAGTCACTCATTCTCAGTCCGAGGAAACCAGCAATAGCAAATCATTTCTGCAATCTTGCCAAAAAAAACCTGCAAGGCTCATTTAGTCACCAGGAGTCAACACTGACTTGAAAACAAAAAAAACACCTAAATCAAAAGTGCATACTAAAATGAAAAAAGAGGAAGGTATATGTTTCATCAGTGTGTACAAGACACACAGTGCCAGACTACATTTTATTTTTGCATAGTTTGTTCTTTGGTTAATATTAATAATACATGTGGCTTAGAGTGACAATGACTAATTTCATTTAAGTTAGCTTATATAAATTATATAATTTATATCATACATTAAACAATCTTCACTTTTTTTTCAGAATACTGCCTACTGTTATAGTTAGTGACAGCACCTGACTTGACTGGTACTGAGAAAGAAAAGCAGGATTAGTCCTAATTAGCAGATGGGTGAGAGACCATCAGGGATCTCAGGTCTGTAAACTAGGTGAAGAAATTAATAAAACCTTCCCCAAAACATCCAGTGGTATACCATCTCCATACTGTTTTGAACACAACAATATTTGACAAGGGAGATTTCAGTTTACTATGACTCCTAACCAATTTGTCCTTTTCTATGTATAAAGGTAATCCTTGCTTAATGACTGCTCTGTTTAGCAAAGTTATGGTGCTGAAAAAGTAACTTTATGACTGGTCCTCACATTTACGACTGCCTCAGGATCCCGAGGGCTACATGATTGCAAAATCCCATGGTACAATTTGTGCATTTCACAGCTACTTTTTGACAAGTAGAGTTAATGTAGAAACCAGAAGTAAAATACTAAGTTCTGATCAAACAATGTTGTTTAACTACTATGCTTAACAAACATAGCAGAAGTGAGGTCTATGTCTGTTGTGGTCAGATGATTTCTCACTTAATGTACTGCTTAGTTTGTAGAAATAACCTTGGGGGTAAGAGTGGAGGTGGGAAGCCCACAGCTGCATAACAGACAAAGAAATTCAGAAAAGATCAGGTTGTAAAAGGAGACAGAGGAAGATTTGTACTTTCAGACTTGAAACATTTTGTTAAATGCCTTATAATAAACTAGAATTAACTCATTTGGTCATGTTTCCTGTCTGATCTACCTTGGGAAGGCTAGAGACAAAGTTGCCGGTCCCAATTGAGGTCATTAAGCGAGAACTATCTGTAATCAATACCTTAAGTTACAGTATAAATAATAAAGAATTAGTGTAATGTTCCACAAAATCAAGGCACATGACATGGGTAGCTTAATAATGTCAATCATTGGATTCTGAGATTAAAAAAAAAACCCTTGAGAAGAAGGAGCATCAAGAACAGCTGCAGAAAATGAATTGTAGATGTAGGCTCTACATACTCAAATAGTTAAACAAGTTCTTCATTTATATATAGTAAAGGCTATAAATAACAAGGGCTATAATTCTGGATTCTTAATTAATAATTATTAACATTACCATCACACGAAATGGCAATATAAGAAGCAAGGTCATCTGCTACAGAATGCAACATATTTCTGTCCATTATGAAGCCTGAAAGAATCCAATATTCCACAACAGCTCCCAAAACTGAATTTAATATTTCAGCTATTTTATGTTTGAAGACCTGAAAAAGAGTACAAATTCTATATTGTTATTATTTACTAACATACACTCATTTTAGTCTCTATATTATTTCACTTTAAATAAATAAAATGTTTTCTGCTAGGAGAATACAGAAATTACTGATTCAAGATGGTGGGCCCAATCTGAAGCTACAGAAACTATCTGATCTAGTCTAAATTGTTCCAAAGGTAGTTCAATGTGATAAAAAAAAAAAAAACACAGAAAAAGATCTTATCTATCTATAATCTAGCAAGGGTAAAATATACAAATGCTTATTAACTTATTTTTCAGGAAAATGGGACTTTTTAAAAGGGAAGTTTGAATTAAAGAGTGGGTGAAGCATGCTGAACTTCATAGAAATTGGTGGGGTTTTTAAAACATCTTTAAAATCAAGTTGGTTGTTTTATCATTTTTGTGAAGAATATATATGATAAAATTGAGATACTGTGGGTCTTTTGTGCAAAAGAAAGGTATATTCATTAGGAATGACAATTCTTCTTCCTCACATAATGCAGGTAATTGTCAGGATTTCAGGTGAAAAATAAGGGAGAACTTTGGTGTTCTTTTCCATAAAAGCTTGCTAATATAGTTAAGGAAAAAGTCACTAGAATTAAATTCTGGTAACAATGAAGTAACATATCCGATAAACTTTGGGGACAACCATGACCTGGATGACTGAGGATCTCCACAGACATATAAGATAAAACTAAAATGTCTCTCAGCTTTAAAGATCTTTTTCTCTTTCCACATGCTATCAGAAGGAGGAAAATTGAGGATGGGCCTGTCAACTATAAAAACCATATTTGCCTTATGTGTGTGTGTGTGTGTGTGTGTGTGTGTGTGTGTATGCATGTATGTATGTATATTTCTCTTCTTGCAGTTATTGAGATACCATTCATGGTAACATGCAAGAGCACTTGAATAAGGCCAGATCTTTGTTGAGGCAAAAGAACAGAATGGAGCCCATTCTGGAGAAGATGCTACCATAATCTCTATAGATCGACCTCTCAGGTACACTCTTTTTGTATGAATAATTTTGAATACACTAGAATTAAACAATAATCTCAAGCCTCTTTTTTATAATTCTGAATAAATTTCACCTGTTTCATCTAGTTTGCATTAGAATTAGACCTGGTTAACAGCACTACAGGTAACCTTTGAGTTATGAGAGTTGGGACTTGGCCAGCCATCACTAAGTGATGCAGTTATAAAGCTTGATGTCATATAGCAATCCAAGCCATCCTGGTTGCTGTTGTAACACCAAGATGCACAGGTTGTTAAGTGGGAAGTGGCGGGAGTCCTAAGTAAAAAGCACAAGAATATCACAGGATGGCTTGGGCGCAGGCATACAAGTAGAGGAAGACTGAGGGAAAGAGGGCTTGGATATATGCATGTAAGTGTAGAGAAGTCAATGGAAGGACTGGGTGCATGTGTGCAAATGAAAGGAGACTGAGAGAAGGAGGACAGGGCACTGTGCATAGGAAGGCAGGAAAGAATTGTCAGATCAACTTGTGACTTTCCCTGCCGGCTATCTCACTGACTGAGAAAAAAAGCTGTCTGTCTATACTGTTGCCAAGAAACAGTCGCTAGATGTATATTTCATATACAAGAATTTATATAGTAATCTGTACAATGCTACAAAATATTAAGTATGTAGTACATTGAAGGTATGCATCAACAAATATTTATTAACAGTCTTTCTGAGAGAAAGTGGAACATCTAAAAATATTATTTCTCCTTCTTTATATTTATATTAGGTAAATCACTTACATCAATTGTCCTGTACTTTTCTCTATATGAATATATGACCCAGTCTATTAGAATATTTATTTGTTTGTTGAAAAGCACTGAATCATTTTTTAACCAAAAGGTGTTCAAAAGAACCGTCTGTGGCATCGCTAGAGGTTTATGTGAGTCACTTTCTTCATAAAGCCTGCAAAAAGAAAAAAATCATTTCTGGATTTAACTACTTAATTTATTAAACTTCATATGTCAAAACCTGCAGAGTTTAACAACATAACAAAAAATCTAAAGAATGTGTGACAAACAATGGAGTGATGTTGTAAGTCTCATTTAAACCATATAAAATGTAGAAGCTTGCTGTCTTGTCTTTTAGAGGTAGCTTCTTGAAGAACAAAATATTTTATCATCTGTTATTTCAAACAAAAGACTATAGTTCAATAGTTCAACCACAGCATACAATAAATATGAGTATGTTGTTGTTAATTGCGATGTCGTGTCCGACCCATCGCGACCCCATGGACAACGTTCCTCCAGGTCTTCCTGTCCTCTACCATCTTCTGGAGTCCATTTAAGTTCACACCTACTGCTTCAGTGACTCCATCCAGCCATCTCATTCTCTGTCGTCCCCTTCTTCTATTGCCCTCAATCTTTCCCAGCATTAGGCCCTTCTCCAGTGAGTCCTTCCTTCTCATTAGGTGGCCAAAGTATTTGAGTTTCAACTTCAGGATCTGGCCTTCTAAAGAGCAGTCGGGGTTGATCTCTTCTAGGACTGACCGGTTTGAACGCCTTGCAGTCCAAGGGACTCGCAGGAGTCTTCTCCAGCACCATAGTTCAAAGGCCTCAATTCTTTTGCGCTCAGCCTTTCTTATGGTCCAACTTTCACAGCCATACATTGCAACTGGGAAAACCATGGCCTGGACTATACGCACTTTTGTTGGCAGGGTGATGTCTCTGCTTTTTAGTATGCTGTTTAGATTTGCCATAGCTTTCCTCCCCAGGAGCAAGCGTCTTTTAATTTCTTGGCTGCAGCCCCCATCTGAGGTGATATTTGAGCCCAGAAAAATAAAATCTGTCACTACCTCCATTTCTTCCCCATCTATTTGCCAGGAATTGAGAGGGCCGGATGCCATGATTTTGGTTTTCTTAATGTTGAGTTTCAAGCCAACTTTTGCACTCTCCTTCTTCACCCGCATCAAGAGGCTCTTTAGTTCCTCTTCACTTTCTGCCATTAGAGTGGTATCATCTGCATATCTTAGGTTGTTGATATTTCTCCCGGCAATCTTAATTCCAACGTTTGATTCATCTAGCCCTGCCTTTCTCATGATGTGCTCTGCATATAAGTTAAATAGGCAGGGCGACAGTATACAGCCTTGCCGGACTCCTTTTCCAATTTTGAACCAATCAGTGGTTCCGTGTCCAGTTCTCACTGTTGCTTCTTGACCCGCATATAAGTTTCTCAAGAGACAAATGAGATGGTCTGGTACTCCCATCTCTTTAAGAACTTGCCACAATTTGTTGTGATCCACACAATCAAAGGCTTTAGCATAGTCAATGAAGCAGAAGTAGATGTTTTTCTGGAACTCCCTAGCTTTCTCCATGATCCAGCGTATGTTGGCAATTTGATCTCTAGTTCCTCTGCCTCTTCGAAATCCTGCCTGTACTTCTGGTAGTTCTCGATCTACATACTGCTGGAGTCTAGCTTATAGGATTTTAAGCATAACTTTACTAGCATGTGAAATGAGTGCAATTGTGCGATAGTTTGAACATTCTTTGGCATTGCCTTTCTTTGGAATTGGAATGTAAACTGACCTTTTCCAATCCTGTGGCCACTGTTGTGTTTTCCAAATTTGCTGGCAAATTGAGTGTAGCACTTTTACTGCATCGTCTTTTAAGATTTTGAATAGCTCAGCTGGAATACTGTCACCTCCACTAGCTTTGTTGTTGCTCAGATTTTCTAAGGCCCATTTCACTTCACATTCTAGGATGTCTGGTTCGAGGTCAGTGACCATCTCATTGTGGTTATCTGGGATGTTAAGCTCATTCTTGTATAGTTCTTCTGTGTAGTTTTGCCATCTCTTCTTAATCTCTTCTGCCTCTGTTAGGTCTCTGCCATTTTGGTCCTTTATCATGCCCATCTTTGCATGAAACGTTCCCTTCATATCTCCAATTTTCTTGAAGAGATCTCTGGTCCTCCCTATTCTGTTGTTTTCTTCTATTTCTTTGCACTGTTCATTTAAGAAGGCATTCTTATCTCTTCTAGCTACTCTCTGGAATTCTGCATTCAATTGGGTGTATCTTTCTCTTTCTCCTTTGCCTTTTGCTTCCCTTCTTTCCTCAGCTATTTGCAAAGCTTCCTCAGACAGCCATTTTGCTTTCTTGCATTTCTTTTTCTTTGGGATGGTTTTAGTTGCTACCTCTTGTACAATGTTGCGAACTTCCATCCATAGTTCTTCAGGCACTCTGTCTATCAGATCTAATTCCTTAAATCTATTTGTCACCTCTACTGTATATTCATCAGGAATATGATTTAGTTCATACCTGAGTGGCCTAGTGCTTTTCCCTACTTTTTTCAATTTAAGCCTAAATTTTGCAACGAGAAGCTCATGATCTGAGCCACAGTCAGCTCCTGGTCTTGTTTTTATTGACTGTATGCAGCTTCTCCATCTTTGGCTGCAGAGCACATAGTCAATCTGATTTCTATGTTGACCGTCTGGTGATGTCCATGTGTAGAGCCGTCTCTTGGGTTGTTGGAAAAGAGTGTTTGTTATGACCATCGTATTCTCTTGACAAAATTCTATTAGCCTGTGCCCTGCTTCATTTTGTACTCCAAGGCCAAACTTGCCTGTTATTCCGGTTATCTTTTGGCTTCCTACCTTAGCATTCCAATCCCCCATGATGATAAGGACATCATTTTTTGGTGTTAATTCTATAAGGTGCTGTAGGGCTTCATAGAACCGGTCAATTTCATCCTCTTCAGCACCAGTGGTTGGGGCATAGATTTGGACTATTGTGATATTGAATGGTTTGCCTTGGATTCGAATTGAGATCATTCTGTCATTTTGGGGATTGTATCCCAGTATTGCTTTTCCTATTCTTTTATTGACTATGAAGGCTACTCCATTTCGTCTGAGGGATTCTTGCCCACAGTAGTATACCTGATGGTCATCTGAGTTAAATTCACCCATTCCTGTCCATTTTAGTTCGCTGATTCCTAAGATGTCGATGTTCAGTCTTGTCATCTCTTTTTTGACTACGTCTAGCTTGCCTTGATTCATGGATCTTACATTCCAGGTTCCTATGGAGAAAAAGTCTTTACAGCATCGGACTTTCCTTTCACCACCAGATATATCCACAGCTGAGCGTCCTTTCGGCTTTGGCTCAGTCGCTTCATTCTTTCTGGCGCTACTAGTACTAGCCCTCTGCTCTTCCCCAGTAGCATATTGGACACCTTCCGACCTGAGGGGCTCATCTTCCAGCGTCATATCTTTTTGCCTTTTAGTACTGTCCATGGGGTTTTCATGGCAAAGATACTGGAGTGGTTTGCCATTTCCTTCTCCAGTGGATCACATTTTGTCAGAACTCTCTGCTATAACCTGTCCATCTTGGGTGGCCCTGCACGGCATAACTTATAGCTTCATTGAGTTACGCAAGCCCCTTCGCCACGACAAGGCAGTAATCCATAAAGGGGAAATATGAGTATCAAGACTGCCTATTAGCAAGACCTGTTAATTCTCAAGCAACAAAGAAAATGATACAATTCACAATTTCTGGAGGATACCAGATTTTCCATACCTGAGGTTATAGTGGACTCTCATCCTAAAAATATGTGCTTAAAAGTTGTGGGAAAAATTATGACATTATATAGTAGTGAAGATAAGGATTGTATATTTCACAGGAAGGAAGTCATTCTGCAAATTTAGTGTAATATATAATTTCTATCTCTTAGTTCTCCAATATAGTTTACTGTGTATTATAGCAAATTGTGACCTTTTGTGTAAAATAATTTTAATTTGCTGCAGTTAAAGAATACACAAAACTTCAAATAAAACAGAACATCTTTAATACCTAAAATTATTTTTAAAATCCTTTAAATACATGTCACAAAATAGTTAATTATTGTAATAGGGCTGTACACCTCATTGGATTTGAAAGCAAAAAGGTGCTTTGGAGCACATGTGGACACAAATGTAGGCCCCTGCCTGAAACTCTTTAAATCAAATACAGTATGTTAAATGATAGCGTGCTGGACAGCTGCACAATTCCAGTAAAAGGCACAACTGTTTTAAATTTTATAGACTCAAAGCACTTTTTTTGCTGAATCCAAAGTGATGCATAGCCCTAATATTTAATATACACCTTTCTAAGGACAGCCTATCTCTGAAACAGAGAACACATTTACTGTAAAACAAGATTCACCTTAAAAATATAGAAAGGCTAAAAGAAAAAAAATACCTTCTTGTTAATGCCAACACTTCAGCATCAAACAAATTCATAACAAATGTCAGCAATTTTTTGTGAAAGGTTCTGTCCGTATTTGTAGTTTTTGGGTCCATGACTGAATGACAAATATTATTGTGATAAAGACAAGACCTGTAGAGGAAACCCCCACACACACACAATAATTAAGATTTTATCCATTTCACAAGGTGCTTCAGAGATATGTTTTTGATGACCTATTGCTTTACAATTACTGGCTCAAATTATTATTGTGCGATTTTTAAAAAACAATCCTTGTATCTTTGTATACATTTGAACTATCACTTTGACAGTTTTAAATTCCTTAAAATAGTTTTGTTTATGAACCTCTGCATTCTAGAAAATGTGCATCTGTTATTAAAATAATTAAACTTTTTGCTAGTTTTTTTTACACTTAAGGCTTTTTAAAATTCCTTTTTCATATAAAATTAATAATCATCTCATGGATGTCTATCTAACATAAACTTTGCATTTTTCTGCCATTTGTGCAACAAAATGTCTTATCAGAAAGTTGAAATGCTGCAAGTTTGAAATATGTTTACTATCGTAGTACATGGGAAGCTGCAACTGTGCAACAGAATCTTCATAAAAGGAAGCAGGCAAAAACTAAATAGAGAAAAAGCATCAGAATGACAGGTTGGAGGCTGTGCTGTATGAATCAACACTGAATAATAAGTTGAGTAATAATAATTTGAATAGATTCTGAAGTTTCTTTAACCTGACCCAACTATATCAGAGCACAATCTCAAATGAACACAGTCTCCCTAGTTTTTGAATTATTATTTAAAAGATTTGTAACAAATGTAAACTCATCAAAGTAAACTGAACAAGATCAATTGGATACTGTTAAGATCTTTCATGGGGTTAGAACTGAAAACATAAAAGCTTAGACCTGGCAGAGGAGAAAATTCAGGCCAAAGCTTTACTGTTAGGAAAAGATCAAGGTAAAAGATGATGGGCAGGTGGCAAAAAACTGCCTTAAGTCATGGATGACAGCATAATGCAGGGGTGTCAAACTGGCGGCCCACAGGCTGGATGCGTCATGCACAGGACACACCCACCTCAGTTCCACAAAGACAAAAAACATTGTGATACGTCATGTGATGTGATCGAGTTTGACACCTGTGGCATAGTGTAAATATTGCCATTATCAGATTATTAAAACACTGATTTGCAGTTATTTTGTTGCTATGCATATCATGTATATTACGTCATGAGTGTGGGTGAAAATGCAAATGGGCCTAGGCTGGGAGACGGCTATTTAAACATTCACCCTTAGATGTTTCAAAGTACTCTTCTGCTTTGAAATCTCAAGCACTGCATAGCTCTAACATATAGATGAGACTTACATAAAGCAGACACAAAGGACAAAGATTTAGTTTGGCAGATTTTATCTTAGCAGCATGAGCAAAAAAACACCAGAGTGAAGACATGTAAAAGACTCAACAAGAAACAGCCCAAGACAAAGACTAATTTGCAAAATCTGAGATGGCTTCCATGTGAACTGGATAAAGTATTAATATGGAAAAATACCAAGATGAGATAGTAAAGTTATATTATGATTAAGAATGATTTTGGTGCTATTGTACATAATGGAGCATTAATTGAAACTTAGTTTGACCAGTCAGACTCAAAATTTGGGTATTCATGGATGTATGTGTATGAAAATAAATGAAAGATTTAAAACTTGTACTGCAGAAAGTACATAACAGTAGCTGCATCATCTCTGGATAAAAAAGAACAAATAGTAGCATTGGAAACACTGTATTATAAATAGCTTATTTATAATCTTCTGTCTGATTGGTCTGTGGAAAAGGTATAATCAGAGCTGAAAGAGATCTGGTATCTAATTAAATCTAAAATTAAAAATCTGATTAAATATAAAATTAAAAAGTATGCCATCTATTTTGGTCTTTCTGGTTATGGTGGATTTTAAGGAAAATTAAAAGGTCACTTAATTGTTAACAATTAATCTTAACCTCTCCCAGAAGAGAATTGCTCTAGATCAATGTTCTAGATCAAAATCTTCCTCAATTAATCCAGTGCCTCTATATTAGAAGAAATGTAGATTTATTAATAGTAGCTGTTCAACAGCTTAACATTCACTTCATGTGAAAATCAAAAACCAAAATTCTATTTGCTGTAATAATTCCACAAGGGTTTTACCTGACAAGCATGTCCATCAGAGACCATGTTCCATTCTTACAAACAGGACACTGAAGAATTTCAAGATAATACCTTAGCGTAGAAGGTGATTTCCAAGGAGGATTACGTTCGAGGAGAGTATACATCATATGAAAAAACTGAACAGAAAGTGTAGGGTCTGAATTGCCCTGTAAACAAGCATGAATGTGTATCAGTTTCATGTTTTGCTCCAAACTTCATTTGATTATTATTTTAGTTTAAAACTGAATGCCTTACATTCTTTCTATTCTTCTGTATTTTCCCAAATCAGATTCTTACTTTTTGGGGATCCGTCATTTAAACAGAGTCTCTACTTCACTGCAATCCACTTTCTTCATAACAAAGTTGAAGGTAGGTATTATAGGTGATTTTGACAAAGTTAAAAATGCTTAACCCTAACCCAAATACCATCTTCTCAGAAAAAAATGAAGCACTGGCTTAGGTAAATGGTATCAAATGGCCAACTATCCTATTACAAAAATACTTTCTCAAAACATTATACTGTCTGCTAAGCCATCTAACATTTAGAGGGTGAAGGAATGCTAATAAGCTGCAAAGTTACTGGAAGGTGAGCAGAACTCTGGAAAAGCAAAGGAAACTAACTCCCTAGACTATGTTCATTAAATACTGCCTCTTTTTAAAACACCACTATCTTTGGAGTCCTGGCCCCATTATCTCAGTTACATCCTAATAGTCTCACTGATGTCACTAAGCACATGAGATTTTATATCTAATGAAATGTCTGGCTATTGTAGCCAATCGTATGTATAGTTTAATTTGCTTCTTTAAGCCTCTCTTTGGCTCTCTGTCAATAAACCAATTTAGGCCTAATGTAACATGTCTTAGTCTTTGGCTTAAATGTACATCTAAAAATTATATCACAGCGTTCAAAAGTACAAAGATTACCACACAATCTTAATTTTCACAATCTCAAAATAAATAATAATTTAGAGTTACACTGTGATTACCACTTATAATTTCAAGGTGTGATTATTCTGTGTGTCAACTATAATAACAAGTTAGATGTTGTTCTCACCTGTAGAATATGCTCTAAAAGAGAATGAATTAGTTTAGCAGGAGGAATACAATCTTTTCCAGAGAAAAATTCTGTGACTGCAATTGGAAAAAAATTATCATCCACTAGTTCTTCCAATATCTTGTTTTTCCTGGAACAGGAAGCATTTTCAAGCTAAGAAGTAAAACTTTTAAGAATTATTATTAACATACTTTTATTAGGTGTTAACAAAAATAAATAAAATCTTTCTGGATTCATAGTAAGAATTTGTTGACTAATCCATTATATTTCCATATGAACATAACTTAACAGCATAAAGAAAAACTTGTAATTTGGGTGATTGAGAAAACAAATTATATTTTCACTGGTTGATATCTGGTATCCACAATTTTATAAGAATCTTCATTAACATTTGTTTTTATCTTGTACTTGATTATAAGCAAAATAAATTAATCTAAATTTTCAGACTATACTGTTTTTAAGAATTCACTTTCAAAAAAAAGAAAGTGTTACAGATATACTCTATTTAGATTTAAAAAATTGAAACTGTGAACATATCAGTATTTTCAGCTATCCAAAAATATTCCCACAAGAATGCTAGTACCCGTGTTTCCCCGAAAATAAGACCGGATCTTTTTTTTTTTTGCCTCCAAGAGGCAATACATCTTATTTTGGGGGGAATGTCTTACTCACCTCCGGTACCGACAGCCCCATTCAGCAGGTCTACTTCTTTTGGAACTGAAGGAGTAGCTTCATTTTGCAGCTGCATTCCGACCTGCATTTTGCAGTCAGGCCTTTCCAGAAGGCCAATGCAGCCGAGTACCGAGCTGTGGATTCTGGAAAGGCCTGTGATTGAGAAATGCACGCCTGGCTGCAGAAGACGCCTTAGAAGAAGTGGGCTGGGGAGGAGAAGGCTGGTTGCAAGGTAAGTGGGTGCGGGGCGCGTGGGGCAGATCCATACCCCTACCCCTGCCCTAGCTTGATTTTTAAGATTGTGCCTTGCCCCAAAACTAGGGTTTATTTTCAGGGTAGGCCTTACTTTCGGGGAAACACAGTACTGAAACTCCAAAACATCAGTGATGACAAGTTACTGTTGTTTTATATCACTATATTTTAACCAGGGGGTTACGTTCAGTCAATATTAGTTCACTGAGTTATCTAAAGTTATCATTAATAGCAGGAGTCACACCCTAAAGAAATGTTCAATTACTGCGAAAATATGCATTGTATTGAGATATTCCTGTCAATATTTCAATAGTCATAAAAGACAGGTTTATAATAATATTCAAGTGTACTTAATTACTTCACAGTAGAGCTTTCGAAGTGATTCAGATAATTAAAATACAGAATTTTGTGCCTATTTTTTGTACATGTAGGCTCTTTAATAGTTTGGATTGCAATTACTATTATTGTTGCTAAGCTTAAACAGTTATAACCAACGAAGAATTAGTTCACATTTTTATAATAACAAAGTTTATTATTCCTTCAAGAATTTGTTTTTAAAAATAATATGGTTATATTAAACTAGATTTTAAAAAAAATTAGGAGCAAGCAGTTGCATTTCCATACTCAATTAAGCAAAAACCTATGTCTGTCACTAAACTATATTATAATGTATGTACAGTATCTCCGGGGGAAAAAAGAACCTGTTGAAATTAAATCCTTCCAGAATAGCATTTAAAGGGAAACAAGAGGAAAAGAAAAATATGTAAATGGATACACTTTGCATGTCACTTCTAAGCATCCTTCTAACTTCATTGTTTCAGAATCTTACCTCTTTGTTGCATTCCATCTTCTCGCCCATTTGAGTGTACTTACTTAGCACTGCCTGTCAGTTAAAAACAAGTTGTTCTTATTATATTTAATTTGTTAATTGTGATGCCTAGAAATATTACATGACACATTAAATAGGCATAGACATAATATTGTTATCAGTCCTGCTAATTTCTAATAAGAATACGATAATTATAGTCAAATTCATTTAAAAGACTTTGCAGCCCTCTAAATCACAGGTAGCCAACTTATGGGCCATAGCCCATTACCAGGCCATGGCCTCTTGGCTGCCGGGCCGCGTGAGTAGTTGGGCATTGCATGCACGTGTGCTCACCCCCCCTCATGCCACTGTTGCTGCGAGTGTTGTGCAGGAGGTGGCAGCATCGCTACTATCTCAACAGGTGAGCGGCGGTGTGTCAGATGCAAGTGGCGGCATTGCCACAAACCTTGTGCAGGTAGTGACACCACCGCAAGCGGCAGGTGGGCCTCAGCGTGATCCTCATGCGAGAGTGGCAGCATGAACCGCATGCCAAGGCAGCATTGCTGAAGGCCGCAGCACGAGCCTCATGCGGGGGGTGGTGGCATGATCCTTGCATCGGGGGTGGCATCGCTGCAGGCCGCAGTGCAAGCCTCACACTGGTGGTAGCATCACCTTGAGTCTGGTGGCAGTGGTGCCACAAGCCTCACACAGGCACCGTCACTGAGAGCCTTGCGCACATGCTCACAGCCCGGTTTGCGTGGTGCACATGCGCAGCCTGTTTGTACACACACACACGTTTGGCCACATTCACATTTGCGCATGCGCACATAAGGCGCCTGCCCTTCCCTCTCCCACCAGGCCGCCAATCCAAAAAGGTTGGAGATCCCTTATCTAAATGGGTAAGTACAATTCTTAGAAAATTTACCCTCCAAAACAGCTCAAATTGCTCAAAAAGGCCCCCAACAACCTGAAAAGACTTTGGAGCGTTCCAAAGGAGATAACGTTTATGAGGTTTCCATTATTTAAAGTAGGTATCAAATTACGGGAACTAACAAGTGTTAAGACTGAAGCAACTTTTACTACAGCAAGAGATTTATAAAGATTAGTGCTTACCTGTTGATAATATATATGCTTGATAAGGGCATTTTTTATTTCATCAAATTGTGTATCAACCATTGTTCCTCTCGATTTTTGCTCATATTTAACGTTTTTCTTCTGGTATTCTTCAACATTACTTTTAATTTCATTCTAAGTATTACATATAATACATTATTTTTTGTACTATGCAAGGTGTTAGTCAACAGAATAGTATGAACTCAAAAAATTATAATTGAAATATAGTTAGAGCAAATTATACTTGAAATATAGTTACAGCTTAATATAAAATAGTACTGTTTATATTAAAGCAATTGTGAATCAGAGGGAATAATTTGAAAAGAACCTTCTTAAACAATCGACATATAGAGTAGGTTTCAAATATCTATACATAATTATACATGATTGTACTCAACATTATATCCATTGATCATTTCAATTACATACTATACAGTAGTATGTATAGTACATGGGGATTGAATGAGGAAATCTGGGCATAGAAACGTATATCACTCTTAACCAAGATTAAGCCATGATACATGAAAAAACATAGCCCATCAGAAGATACTTTACCCTTCTAATTACATATATGAAAATTTCCAGAAATGAATTTATCATAGCTTTCCATTTGCTAATAAACAAGCTATTCTCTGAACTAATACATAAGCCAAAAACTATGGATAAAAACTTAATCCTTGATTTAAAGCTGGTTTCTAATTCTGCTGCTTCTAGAAGCGATTTGGCAGAATTCTGGATTTTCTTGGTCTTACAATCATAGGGTTTTTGGTGTTGTTCACTGGCTAATAGGGTATGAACACTTTAGATCAGCTTTTTGCCAGTCATTTTTTTTCAAAACCATTTGAGATACTGCAGAAAGTTTGCCTTATCTAAAATTGGGAAATGGCTACATTCAATTAAAACGTCTTTTGATTTTGCAATCTGATCTAGCTGTATTCACAGCAATTATCATTCCTGGATTATTAGCATTGAAACATGCTTTGGATAGTTTTGAATACATATGTTTAAAAAGACAATTAAAAACATTATTAAGATTAATATGGATTAACTTAAGAAGTTTGGAATAAAGAACTGGAATACCTGACATTGGCAAGTTAATAGTTATGAGTCAAATAGTAATAAATATGTATCATGTGTTCCACATTAGAATGTTCATGTTTATTGGACACATCAAAAATTCTTAGGAAAAGGCTGGTGGTCAATTTCATTATACTCCAAATATAAAATCATGGAGGGAATACTTACATATATATGGACTTATCCTACCTAGACAAGTATCCACAAATTTGTTAATATGGTTTTAAGAAGAATAACATGTTACTTTTGAAAGCCAGTTTGGTATAGTGATTAGGAGAAACAAGGAGATCATGAATTCTAGGAAAGTGTGCTGAATATGTTTGCTACCTTATTTGTAAAAATAATAAAGGTGTAATATAAATAACATTATACAAATAAATAAAATAAAGAATGTAATGTTAAACATATTGAACATGGAATTTTGGGGCATACCAAAGTTATTTGTTTATAATGGAAAGAGAGACCCACCATACTTGATTCAGTGATACGTGTTCATTCTATTGCGAGTAAAAAGAGTGTTAAATTATTTCATATGATTAAGGTTTAATACTCTGTTCAAATATTAAACTGTTTTCTCTATGTATTCTGATGTGTTTATATCCCTTTTCTTTCATTCTTCTGTAAAGCAAAGCAAATAACCCCCCCCCCCAAAAAAGTCATAGACCCTAATTTGTCTGTAACAGACAACTGTGACTAAGTGTATCTTTTGAATTTATGTGCTGCTAACATGGAGGAAAAAGTGAAAACACTGTATTTGTGTGTGTATGCCAAGTGCATACACACATTTAACAAGTTACTATTTAATTGGGCTGAAGCTATAATAACACTTCCCTCTGGCTGAGCAATTCTTGACCGCCAGGATTGCCTAATCTCAAACATACAAAATCACAGGCATGCCCTGAATGGTGTCATATTTGATTCAACATAAGCAAAATAACAAATGTAATGATATCTAAATGATTCTCACTTTAGAACCATATCTATTTTTTTATGCAAAGTTCAGAAACTAATATGATACAGTCAGAACTGTTACACAGTAATAATTTAACTTAGAACTAGTTGATCACAACTCATCAGCTGTTTAAAGCATGAATTTTGCTTATATACTTGCCTCTAAAAGATAAGTTCCTAAATAACGAATTGGGTAGCACGGAGCCCCAAAGAGATGTTTCAGTTTCCCTTGATTTAATATTGTATTATTAGTTAAAACATGGGTAATATCTTTTGGTGTACTTAGTGTTGCATAAATATTGGCTTTCCCAGCTTTTAGAACTCTGAAAAAAATGGAAAGATAAATATTTCAAATGCAAATAAGATTCTATTTCAAAACCTAAATTTATAAAAATAATAATTTTTTCCCATAGTCTTTTCCACAATCACAGAATGGATATATGTACATATGTGTTTGTGAATATAGGTGCTTGTATATGTATGTGTGTATATGTATGTAAATCTCTCTAACAATACTCCATTACCTAAAAAAACTTCCTATCTATTCTTATTACAATAAGTGAATGTCATTGTTCAAGCTCAATAATATTAACTGTTCCAGGTAGAAATGATGCTAAGAGAAGAAATAATACCGAAGAATAAAACATTGAATGCTAAATAATTAAAACAACAATAAAACTCAGACATTTTCTAATGTTAAATTTAAGTACTATCAACTTATTCCCAAGCTGACAGAAAACTATTTCGGCTTGAAATTTGCTTTCCCCATAACCAAATTTTTTTTTGCCTGTTTGGAATCACTAAAGTCATTTGATTTTCTTCATCAGTAATGAGTGACAAAATCAATCAGATTTTTATATCTTGGATTTTGCTCTTGGAATGGTATCAGAAGAAACGGGAAAATACTGCTTTAATATCAGTACATCTAAAGATAACTTATTTCTATCTCATGGATGGGACTGAGACAAATGTAACATGACAGAAAAATGTTGCCATGGTAAATTTGTGTCATGGTTGATGTAAATGGGGAAAGATTCTTAAAATAAAAGATTGGTATACATGCATGTGTGTTTATATACATTTGTATACCGTCCCACCTAGGATTTATCGTATTTACATCCTACAATGCACATCTTGCACCCCCTCTCTGAACTGCACATCTCTCATGCACTGCCTCACACACCATGTCCGCACCCCACCTCTTGCACACACATCTTGACTTTCCCACACACCTTTGTGTATTTCTTCTGTGTAATGGCATATGGGATAGAATAAGGGTGGTTGGTTGGAAGATATGCTTAGAGAAGAGAGGACACACCCATAGATGCCCAAGGAGCAGAGAAAGACACTCAGAAAGGAACTAATTTCTTAGGCTGTAAAAGAGATGGTGGGAGATTTGTACCTTTCCAGACTTGGAAAAGTCTGTTAATGTAACCTTATAATAAATAAGGTAGAATTAGCTTATCTGGTCATGTGTCCAGTCTAGTCCACTTGAGAAGGTGACACTCCACCACCAAGCTGCAGCCACTTACAATTGCCTAGGGCTTGCAATTTCTTGCTGGCTCCCCCAGCGACTTTATTTTGGGTAACTGGCAAGAAGTTGCCTCAGCTAGTGACTGTGGGATTCACTTAAAAATAGCAACTGGAACTACCAGGATTGCCATTACTAAGCAATGCAGCCCTGCTTTATGACCACTTTGCTTAGAGACTGAGATGCCATTCCCAATTGCCATCTAAATCAAGGGCCACCTGTACAAAAACAGAATTTTGTTCCACTGCTTTGTGCACTAAAAAAATACTCACAATTAATGATGCTTAATTAGAGATTAACTCATATTAAGAACGTATCAGATAAAGAATACTACAAAAGATCTGATATCAAGCTTAGTAACAAGAAAAAAACACAATTATTTTCTAATGACTTAATCATTCATTAGATAAAATTTAAGCTCTTGTCCCTACCTTATCAAAGAATCCTCTCGTTTATCACGACTTATAATAAGCAGAACAACATTCCATCTGTGGAAGGCTCCTGTAGCACCAGAATGACTGAGCTTTTCGCGCCATCTTTTAGGTGCAGATTGCATTTGAGGTGAATAAAGAGAATCGTTTTTAATTTTATAACCCCATTCATAAGTTGTTTCATCAAGCCATCTGCCACTTTCGGCACTATTAATTATGTAGTCCTTAGTTAGTACCCATTTTCCTGAAAAACAAATGTGTCAACCACCAAATTTTTGTGTAAACAAACTGCTGTCAAACAAAGGTCAAATATAAAAATAAGCAAAAATTCTTAAGACAAAACAATTAGAGATTAAATGATATTTTATATTACTATATCTAACCATTTACAGATTTTTTTTTTGAATGTATATTTTTCCTGGGCATCATTAAATCCTGATCTTAGCTTAAGATCTATATATGTATTTAGTGGCATAATATCATATTATCATAAATAAATACTGTAATCCTATGGAAATATACTCGCAGGTAACACATTGCCTAATTTTTCGTTATTTATTCATATCAGTGGCAGCAATACCCTTTTACATAAAAACAAACTTTAACTTGTTTCATATTTTGATTCCAATCAGTTTCATTGGAGAGCAGATTGTGCCACTGCATAGTAGTATTTTACCAGATGGTATTTCTATAGGTGCTAGTTTTGGATGCCAGCAATCATCTGATGAAAAGGTACTCTCAGCCTCTTTGGGACAAGCTATTATATTGTGCTATAATACAGAATTCTCTGATTGAAATTTATGTTATAGCATATTTTAAGGGAATTGATAAAAATAATGGTGGCTTGGATGAATGAAATCATAATTATCAGATACGTAAATGCTATAACTACATCAAGTATACATAATATACAAATTTCATACATGTTATTAAAAATTCAGAACCAAATGAGAGACACTTGTGTTCAACTCAAATAGGAATATTGTGAATATATGTGGTCATCCTTAAGGGGGACATTTTAGGAGATCTTGAATTTGTTAAGTACCATGGTATTTCCCAAAAGTGCTTTTTCAAAAGGCAACTGGACTTGAAGATGTTTCACTTTCCATCCAAGAATCTTCTTCAGCTCATTTCTAATACCGGTATAATAAATTACTGCCAAAGTGCATTCTTTCTGTCTAAACTCTGATTAGACAATTTTCTCACTAAGAGACTGTAATTTTAATATTTGAGCAGTTAATAACTATTAATAATAGAGATGAGAAATGAAACTTGCGTTCAAGTTATTTTTGCACAAGCATGATTGGAAACAAATAGACAAAGTCCATTTAAACATAAACAACACTAATAAAAGGTATTCTGTTCACATATAGTCAAAGACTATGTATTGGATTGCTAGAAGAAATATGAGAAATATCAAATAATGTAAACAGTAATAACAATTATACCTTACCTGAGTCACAACAGAGAAGAAAAGGAACAAGCTAGCAGATTTCAAAAGATTACTAATTCACAAATATTCTTACATAATTGGTACTTTTTATAGTACAGGCACTGAAAAAAGTTATTTATGATCATTTTTTACCCTTACAACTATTGCAGCATTCCCATGATCACATGATCAAAATTCAGATGCTTGACAACTAACTCATATTTATGACGGTTGCTGTGTCCGGGGGTCAGGTGATCAGCTTTTATGATCTTCTGACAAGCAAAGTCAATGAGGAAGCCAGATTCACTTAATAATGGTGTTACTAACAACTGCAGTGATTCACTGCAGTTCACAACAACTGTGGCAAGAAAGACCATAAAATGGGGCACAATTCACTTAATTGTCTTACTTAGCAACTGAAACTTTGAGCTCCATTGTGGTTGTAAGTCAAGGGCTACTTGTAATGACTAACCCAGAGGAAAATGGTGTAAAAAAAAGTAATCCAAACCGAAGATTATATACAACCCAATTTCTATTCAGAGTTGGGAAGAGTTAACTCCATGCAGTTAATTCTCCTGTGCGCTGAAAGAACAGACCTCAAATTGGGGTGAAAATGCTAGTAAATGCCAAAAGGGAAAACACCAGAACTTCCATCCCTCCATAGGGGAATACGCTAGCGAACAGCAGCATTTCCACTCTTCTGGAGGGGAAACGCTATTGAAAACCAGTGTTCTGAAAGATTCAGAATGGTGGCTTTTATAGTATTTTCCCCTCCGGAGGAAATCCCTCTGTGCGCTGAAGGAATGGATCTCAAATCAGGCAAAAATGCTACCAAATGCCATAATTTTTGCAAATGTTCTCCCAATGAGGCAAGGACCCAGACCTCCCAAGTAGGGCGAGAGGCTCATGGCCTTTCCTTGCCCAACCATTCATTGAAGTGGTCATGTGGTATCTTGCTTTACGTCAGCTTCAAAATCAACGACCAAGATTCTGGTACCAGTTGTGGTTGTAGATGAAGGGCTATCTATATTCACCTTGTATCCTCACACCCTCAGGTTGGTCACTGTCTCGTCAATCTCCAAATTAATTAGAATATCAGGAATTCCTGATTACAAATGCCTATATATTTCAAAGAATTAAATCCCAAATAAGTATGCTATGTTAAAAACTGGGAAGCAAATATTACTGAGTATAATTAATTTAATGTAATTATAGCTAAAATCATTACGTTAAGGAGGAAAACCTATATACATTTAGCTTATTTTTATTTTTTTATTTATTATATTTTGGAGCTGCCTGATTCCTTGATGACTCATAGTTTTTACAATTAATAATAAGAAACAATTTACCCTTTGAACAGTGGCAGCAGCAAAATTTCACAAACTGATTATAACTCATGACCGAGTTGCCAGAATTATTCATTTGAAACTTTGACAGAGATTTGGATCTGTAAAAACTACTGGGACCCTCAAGTTGGTAAGGTTTTCAAAAATGAATAGGTAAAATCATACAGGATTTTAAGATTCAAACAACCAACTTATTTATAACATGTCTGATATAATAGTCATTGATGTTCCTATATCAGATGATTCTAGGATTAAGAAAAAAACAACCGGAAAACATTATGAACTATTGGGACTTAAATATGACATCAAAGTTGAACACTTAATGAAAAAGAAATCCATTGTTATACCAATCTTGACTTAAGGCCTCGTAGTGATAATTAAGGGACTTCCTCAATATCTGGAAATACTGAATTTACCAGACTTGAACACCTTATTTTTACAATAAAAATTTCTAATGCCTCTGACAAAGCCAATCTTTTCTGGAGAGCTACCCAAATCTCCCTATCAGTTTGGAGGGATACATTCCTCTTACTAGGATAAACTCAATTGGAGACAAATCATTATGTACTTATTTTAATGGAGATTATTAGAGATATTACTAAAAGATATATCTGGAGAAAAAATAATCAAACAACTTTAAAGGTAATAGAATATAAGAATAAAATAAGTTCAACGAAGTTTTGTGTTTCCAAATATGCAGAAAGAATATCATTGAGCCGAATACAAGTAGCCCTCGAGTTACACCATTTGTTTCATGATCATCTGAAGTTACAACAGCACTGAAAAAGTGATCCATTACCATCTTTCACATGACTTTTGCAGCATCCCTGTAGTCTCATGATCAAAATTTGGAGGTTTGGCAACTGGCATGTGTTTATGACAGTTGCAATGTCCTGGAGTCATGTGATCACCTTTTGAAACCTGACAAGCAAAGTCCATGGGAAAGCCAGATTCACTTAACAACCATGTTACTATCTTAACAACTGCAGTGATTCACTTACACCAAACTTACTTTTGTAAGTCAAGTCGTAGATAATGCATTTTATAAAATTACAAGGTAATGTTATGTGTGGGTGACACAAAAATTAAGCATTGGATATAGTTCAATTTCTCTAGTATTAAATCATTTGTAACAAAAGCCACCACAAGCCTAACAGCTGGTTCTAGGAGGACCTTACTATGCTTGAAGTTAACAGGGTATCTACATAATACTGTCATCAAAAATTCATGTTTGGGAGTAGAAGTGAGAATGGTTTGAAAGCTAAGGAGAAGGGTAATGAATGTGTTAACATAAACTATGTCTTGAATTTTGGCCTTTAATTCATTCAGCTTAGCATTTTTACTTCCATTTCTGCACTTTGCATAATGGTGCTTGCTCTCAATGCATGACGATGTGGATGTATATAAAGAATTTTTAAAAAGCGTGTGTTTTTTTTACTCAGACATTTCAAATTATATTCTTCTTTGTATATAAGCAGCACAGTAATCCATGTCAAGGTTTCTGCTATATTTTCATGTGCCATTCTTTTCCAAAGAATCATTATATGCAACTGGTTACTGTATCATCTGAAATAATTAAAGTATATTATATTTACCTGCTGCACATGCTGCTAGAAACTTTTCACTCTTGCAAGGCCTTTTTGCTATAAGATGAGTACAATTTTTATACTGCTAAAGAAAAAAAAGAGTTGTTATTTAAGGATCAGCAGGCATCTTTACTGTGGATCAGCACATTCCATTAACAAGTAACTCTTCGTGGGATTCACACAATAGTATGTTGGCTGCACAGAATATTCTAGCTTACATAAAATGGTATGGGCATGTTTGGAGTAAACCTGAGCTTTAGCTCTACATGTGGCAATATGATCAAAATGTGCCAAAATGACTATTGTACCCTTACTGTTAATAAGGAATACTGCAAAAGCTACAGGCATGACTAAAACTGGTAATTTAGGTTAACCCTTATCTTACTGGAAAACAATATGTGAAAAAATCTAATGATCAAAGCCATGATAAGAGTCATAGGTTAATACCTATGAGCCCATTTGGTACTGTGCTTCCTTTTCTTATCTCATGCCTTCATTTCTTACTCTTTTTTTCCATTCTGCAAATGATACTTATCCTGAAAGAAAATAATATATGTATATATGTATCCATTTATACCAAGACAAGAAACTGAGTTCAGTTTCCAATGAGAAACTTTCCAATAAAACTGCTGCAGGCCCATAATTACCTTATGTATTTTTATCAAGTACTATTACTTACCTCACTGTTAAGGAAAACACAGTCTAATTTCAGAAGCAACTGGATTAGAATTTCCTTTTCTTCATACTTAAATCCAGTTAACTGAATCTGTGGTTTCTCAACGACCCCTTCCATCTATTTAAAATGATTACATGAACAAAAAAAAGTATGACTGAAACTTCAATTATATTGAGATCAACAAGTTTCTGTTCAAATTCTAGTAACATTATATATAGGTAAAAAGGGTCAGCATTAGGGACATTGCTTCGTCTCTTTTAACCAGACAACATATATTCAGTTTTGACTAATAGCTGCCTTGAGACTGCAGGTATGGAAATGAAGCACATTTTCATCTCATGAGTGGCCAGAAGATTAAGGTCATCAAGTACTTCTCAAGTAAGAAAGCCAACAAAAGATGTTCCTATTAGATATAATCACCTTTGCAATTAGGAAATTATGAGGCAGTAGGGGAAAAAACTGCCTACCCACTTATTTTCGTACATACCCAGTGTATGTGTGTGAGAATGTGTATAAATAATAAGTAGCACATCTTTGGGGTCTGGTAATTTTGCTCTTGCTAGCTGAAGACTCTGATAAGCAACAATCAAAGAGTTCAATGCCTGTGGAGTGGCATTGTTCCTAGTCAGATCCCTAATAGCAGAACTTGGGGCAAGCAGACATCCATTGGGAACAAATAGTGATGGGGGGGGGAGGGATGTAAAAATGGCATGGTAGTACCTTAATTTTCCCATCACTTTATCCAGATGAAAAGCTACCCATGGTGATTCTGAATGCTTTCTTCATGGTAGACAGTCAAGCAACCACTCCTTCACAAAAACCTTCCAAGGCTCAGTTCTGGTGAATGTGGCTGCTTTCACAGGTTATTAAACCAGCCCTCCCATTTAATTTCTCTGATGCCTACTCTCCATTCTTAGTAACCCATCAGCACCAGATGACTGATAATTATATAGCTGACATAAATGCTAGCTTAACTGCCAGCACTTGTACTTTACTTTGCCAGTCTGATGGGAAGTCCTGTCTACTTTGCTATACAACTCCAGGAAAATTAAATTAGCCAGCCAGTAATGCAATAACTAATTATTTCATATGATGCCAGTATTCTTTCTACAGTTATGGGATTTATGTTTATGTCCAGAGTTAAACTAAATATTGGGCTGCAATCCAGGCATCCCACTCAAATTAAGATGATGTAAAGGGTTATGCAAAACTTTATCTGCAATAATTTCGGCGGGACTACCTGAACTAAAACTAAAGCAGGACCTCAGCTATTGCGACCAACAGAACAAATCTTTAATCCTATGTAAAAAAACACTGAACAACTAAACTTAACCTAAGCATGCATTGGCCCATATTCCAAGCCATCGATCAATGAAGAGCGATTAGCCAATTTGTTAACGACCTCGCTCTTCTCAAGGCATTTCAAATCCAACAGCAATAACTATAGAAAGAAAGGAAAAACACTCAGATTTCACAACCATTTATACCTGGAGATGAAACGATCAGCCCCTGCCTCAGTGCCGCAAACTTCACCTTCTTAACGCAGTTACGTATCCTGCTATGCCAGAAGCGTAAAGTAAGAAAACAACCGCTTTGGGACGGTGGGAAGATAGATAACGGAAATCGGTATTAAGAGCCCCTGAAGTGAGGCGCGTCTGCTCAAGAACGCCGCGGTTCTTTAAACGGCGATTTCCCACCCACGGGTATAAGTTGCCACCCCAACCAAAGCTTCAAAATTGGAAAGCATTCTGTCCACCGAGTCCAAAAAGCCCCTAAGGAAAAGCCGCCACCCGTCTGTTCCCTCTTACACTCAGCCCATCGCTACCCAAACGGAGCCACTACCGCGAAAAGTTCCTTCCGGGCCCTGTAAGCTTCTTCAGTCTCCTCCTCGTTCCCGCGCACGGTTCAGGCTGACAGGCTCCTCCCCCGGAAGTTGGAGCCGTTCCGGGCCGTAGCTACTAACGCCCGTTGGTCTCCGGGGTTACCAGGTTTAGCACACAGGGCGGCTGGCCTACCTGGTAAGTGACGTCGGAATACATCTTCCTCGCAGTTAGGGGGCCTCAGGTGATACGTCGGGATCTGTGACTGTTTGCCTCCCTCCCTCGCTCTCCTCTCGCTCTCCACTGGGTTTTCGTGAACCTCTTAATGCTCCTCCGCGCCCCTCCCTGAGATTCAGGTTGTTGACCTGCCGTAAAAAAGCGTGGCGGCATTTTGAAAACTGTCCCATGTATTTATCTTTGCGGAGGATTTCATCTTCCTTCCCTGCAGTTGACGAAGCAGATCCTGATCCAGGACGTGTTAGTTTTAAAGATATCTCAAAGATTAACGTTACATCCGGAGTAAGAGATTCCACTCGTGTGGGCGTATTACATTGTGGCTCATGCCGTGTATTCGCTGTTTTCCTTTCATTGCCTGCCTCCTTCATGCTCGTCTGAGAGTTAATGGACTGAATGCAACAGGGTTTATTTTTCAGGAGTGTACAAACTCGTATTTTTCTTTTCTTTTTTCTTTTTTATTAAATTTTTATTAAATACAAAGAAAAAAAAGGATTAAAAACATTGAACATGGTAAATCGTCTTTGACTGACATCTCAGTCCATATTGTACATTAATTACATATATTATACCTATATACAACTATACATTTCTAGTCTCTATCTCAGTTTATCTCTTTACTGTGACCTCCATTTTTTCCCTCCATCTATAAAATTTATTCCATATTTGATAAAATTCTGTTTCTTCCTGATTTTTTAATCTTTTTGTTATGCTATCTAGTTCTGCGCAATACATAATTTTCTTTATTAGTGCTTCTCGGCCTTTTGTCTAAAATCAAGTGTAGTATCTGTTCTTATCAGTTCAAACTCGTATTTTTCAATAGGTCTGTATTGCAACTATCTAGAGAAGAATTGGATTTGAACTGCCCGTTCAATATAAGATGGGCAGCTATAAAAGTGTTTTAAATAAATAAAATAAATAGACTTATATAATGTGATAAAAATACAATTAGGTAGTTAGTATTGATTCACTGTTGTGTGAACTCAAGAAATAGAGATAGTTTACTAAACTACAGATTACATACATAGTTTTGACTGAGGTATAACAAAGTAAATATGAGATGCTCTTGCTTACAATTATTTTTGCTTCTTTCAATACTCATTCTTCACACTAACCTATACACTGCCCACTATTTTATTATCAGCATATGCACACCTTTCTTTATCATTTTTTCTAATTTTTTACTAAGATGCATTCATTTATCTACTTACACTATTCTTTTGTTAGCTGTGTATAATTTACAATCATTCTGTTTTCTTTGTCAGACAAAACTGTTTTCGTCCTTAATTTTAAGTTTCAGACTAACATTCACTGAGTTTATTCCGGTTTTCATTCATCAGTTATACTGAAAACTACATGTAGATTCATATCCCCAACTAACAGCTCTAATATCAGCACAGCATTCCCTATATATTTATAATTATGTACTGTAAAACCACCAAGGAAGCATCACAAATTCATGTCTTACCCTATACTCGATGTACAAACGTCCATTAAACTTTATTTTCTTGCATGCTTTGTTTCTATCACATGCATTTATTTCTATCCTGCCTTTATTATTTTTACAAATAACTCAAAGCAGCAAACATATCCAACACAGCTTCCTCCTATTTTCCCCACAACAACCTCATGAGGTGGGTAGGGCTGAAAGTGACTATCCCTAGCTCACTCAGATGGCTCACCCAGGGTCTCCAGTTTCTAGCCTGATGCGTTAACCACTAGATGAAACAGAACAGAACAGCTGGAAGGGACCTTGGATGTCTCCTAGTCCAGCCCCCTGCTGAAGCCAGATACCTATACCATTTCAGACAAGTGACTGTCTAATCTCTTCTTAAAAGAGCCGAGGTGGCGCAGCAGTTAGAGTGCAGTACTGCAGGCCACTTTAGCTGACTGTGTTCAGCAGGTCAGCGGTTCAAATCTCACCGGCTCAATGTTAACTCAGCCTTCCATCCTTCCGGGGTAGGTAAAATGAGGACCCAGATTGTTGGGGGCAATGTAAATATATATATACATTGCTTACTGGTGTACACCGCTTAGAGAGTGCTTGCACTTAAAGCGGTATATAAGTCTCATAAATAAATAAATAAATAAATAAATAAATAAATAAATAAATAAATAAAAATCTCCAGTGATGGAGTGCCCACAATTTCTGAAAGCAAGCTGTTCCACTGATTAATTGTCCTTACTGTTAGGATGTTTCTCCTTAATTCGAGGTTGCTTCTCTCTTTGACCAGTTTCCAACCATTGTTTCGTGTTCTTCCCTCTGGTGTTATACAATTCAGTAATCAACTATTCTGCATTTGCGCAAAATTCCATAATTGGACCTACTTATATGTTTTATCTGAATCAACAAAGATAAGCGTTCTCACATTGACAAATATCTCAATGAGATATTGAAAAACATTGTAGAATGTTAAAAAAATGTTACAAAGAACATCTCATTTATGACTAAGAAACCAGATTGACTCTCCCACCCCTATCCTCCAATCCTGGCTGCATCTGATGTGCCCTTCACTTCTGCAGTGTTACAATTCTAACACACCTTCATATCTGGCTGCTTTATCACTGCTGCTTTTCTTCATCTGTGCAGAAAACATAAGCTTCACTTGCTGAATTCTATGTGGATTGGTCTGCCAGTGCTTATTTTTTCTTTTTAGGAGTTCTTCTGTGGAAAGTATTTTATTTTATTTTTTTAAAAAAAGTGAATAATTTGTAGCTCAGGGTGGAAATAGGGGTCTTTGGTGCTTTCTGAGCTTGTTTGTTTTCTTGCAGACATTTCATTACCCAGATTAGGTTAACATCATCAGACATCAACATCATGGTGATGTTACCAAACAGAGGAAATAGATGAACTTTTTGCCAGTCAGCTAACTAAGGTATGTAGGAAGCACATCACAATAGTAATGGGGGACTTTAACTACCCTGACATCAACTGGGAGACAAACTCCGCACCAAGTGGAAGATCAAACAGGTTCCTGGCAAACCTAGCAGATAACTTTGTCTCCCAAAAAGTAGAGAAGGGAACTAGGGGATTAGCCATCTTGGATCTAATTCTCACTAACAGAGATGAAATGATAGACGGTGTTGAAGCCATAGGAACCCTGGGAGGAAGTGATCATGCAATATTAGAATTCAACATTATAGAAGCACAACCAATAGAACACAGTCAAACTAGAGTCTTGGACTTCAAGAGAGCTAATTTCAATAAACTTAGAGAGGGCTTGGGAAGGATTCCATGGATGAGAATCCTCAAGGGGAAAACAACTCAAGAAGCTTGGGAAATTTTGAAAAATGAGATAATAAAAGCACAGTCTAGCACAATACCAACAAAGAGGAAAAACAACAGCTCTCAAAAGAAACCAGCATGGCTGCATAAAGAACTCTCTGACAAATTGAAAGATAAAAAGGACAAGTATAGAAAGTGGAAAGAGGGGAACATAACTAAGTCAGAATATCAGCAAATAGCCCGAGCCTGCAAAGATGAAGTGAAGAAAGCCAAGGCTCAAAATGAACTAAGGCTTGCGACCAAAGTCAAAAATAACAAAAAAAGCTTCTTTCAACATGTAAAAAACAAGAAAAAAGTGAAGGAAATGATTGGTCCATTAGTGGGTGGAAGTGGCAAGAAGGTGACAAGCAACAGGGAGAAAGCAGAACTATTTAACTCGTTTTTTGCATCTGTCTTTACACAAAGGGAAAAAACAGACCAACCTATCAAAAATAGTGCCATAAAAAACAAAACAGAAACACAAGTTAAGATAGGCAAGAAAATGGTTAGGGAGCACCTGTCCAGCCTAGATGAGTTCAAATCGCCAGGACCAGATGGATTACACCCCAGAGTTCTCAAGGAACTGGCAGATGTAATATCGGAGCCACTGAACTATATTTTTCAAAGATCCTGGAACACAGGGGAACTACCAGAGGACTGGAAAAGAGCTGATGTAGTTCCCATCCTCAAAAAAGGAAAAAAAATGGATCCAGGAAATTACAGACCTATCAGCCTGACCTCAATACCTGGGAAGATCCTGGAAAAGATAATCAAACAACGAATCAACGAACACCTAGAGGCAAACAAAGTCATTACTAAAAGCCAACATGGGTTTGTCAAAAATAGATCATGCCAGACAAATCTTATTGCATTCTTTGACCAAGTGACAAAATTAGTGGATCAGAGGAATGCTGTGGACATAATTTACTTGGACTTCAGTAAGGCATTTGATAAAGTAGATCACAACCTACTACTTGACAAGATAGAAAAATGTGGGGTAGACAGAACCACCACCAGATGGATCCGTAGCTGGCTGACCGGCCGTACTCAGCGAGTGGTCCTCAATGGAACTGCATCTATATGGAGGGAAGTGTGTAGTGGGGTGCCCCAGGGCTCTGTTCTGGGCCCAGTACTCTTCAACATCTTCATCAACGATTTGGATGAAGGGATAGATGGGGAACTCATCAAATTTGCAGACGACACCAAGCTGGCAGGAATAGCCAACACTCCAGAAGACAGGCTTCAGATACAGAAGGATCTGGACAGACTTGAACACTGGGCACTAACTAACAAAATGAAATTCAATGGTGAAAAAAGCAAGGTTCTACATTTAGGCAAGAAAAACCAAATGCACAAGTACAGCATAGGTGGCACCATGCTCAATAGTAGTAACTGTGAGAGGGACCTCGGAGTCCTAGTAGACAATCACCTAAATATGAGCCAGCAGTGTGCTGCAGCTGCCAAAAAGGCCAACACAGTGCTAGGCTGCATTAACAGAGGGATAGAATCAAGATCACGTGAAGTATTAATACCACTCTTCAATGCCTTGGTAAGGCCACACTTGGAATACTGCATCCAGTTTTGGTCACCACGATGTAAAAAAGATGTTGAGACTCTAGAAAGAGTACAGAGAAGAGCAACAAAGATGATTAGGGGACTGGAGGCTAAAACATATAAGGAACGGTTGCTAGAATTGGGT